GCTATACCTTTAGCCATTTTCAAGGATGATTCGATTTTTCAAATTAATTGAGTGTGTGCATTCTGTGTATGTATTAGTGTTTGGTAGGGATGTTTTTAATTTCCGAATACGGTTAGCACATTGTGGCCTTGTTCGTAGTTAATATTGTTAAGAATTGGCTTTTTCTTTTTTATTATTAAAGCTTCCTTTATTTTTAATCTTTTTTTTACAGGTGGATGCAGTTATTGTGTTTGTGTTTTCTACTAGTATGTTTCTAATGGAGTCTGGTAAGTTTTTTGTGTGTTTTAATGGGCTGTAATGGAGCTGTGATCAGATAGGTGTAACGTGCGAGAAGTGAGAAGTGCGAGAAGTGAGAAGGGCGAGAATTGAGAAATGCGAGGTGCGTGAAGTGCGAGAAGTAGGAAGTGCGAGAAATGTGAGCAGTGCGAGAAGTAGGAAGTGTAAGAAGTGCGAAAAGTGTGAGAAGTGAATAAAATAGAATAGAAGGAAGTGTAAGAAGTTCGAGAAGTGCGAGTGAGAAGTGAGAAGAAGTAGGAAGTATGGAGAAAATTTCAATGTGAGAACATGAGAAGTACGAGAAGTAGGAAATGTAAGAAGTACGAGAAGCTAAGAGAAATATGAAGTCCGAGAAGAGGAAGGGAAAAGAAGTAATGAGAAGTGGAGAAAGGCAATAATTTGGTGAGAAGTCTGAGAAATTTGAGCAGTGTGAGAAGTAGAAAGTGTAAGAAGTGCGAGAAATATGAGAAGTGCGAGAAGTAGGAAGTGTAAGAAGTGCGAGAAGTGTGAGAAATATGAGAAGCATTCTTAAGTAGGAAAGGTAAGAACCTTCTACCATGAGATAGAGAAGTCCTTATAAGTGAGAAGTACGAGAATGTTAAAAAACAAACAGTACGACTGCATTTTTTAAGTCTGAGAAATTGGGCGTTTGAGAAGGAAAGGTGAATTTTAAGTTATTAATATTAGAAGTGTGAGAAATACCCAGTGTGAAATAGGGAATTTGGAAAACAAATTTAACGTTTTTTTTTTTAATGATAGCAAGACATGAGAAGGTGGAGAACAGTAATGGATAACAGACAGTCAGAAGTGCTTGAAGTGGAGTTTGTCAAATTTTCAGAATTTCTAGGGTGAGAAGTCTTTCGTCTTTTTAAAGTAGGGAAGTGTAACTTAGGACAGACCGGAAATTGTCTGAAATGAGCAAGTGCAACACCCTACCTGAAGATTGGTCGTCGAAACATCGAAGTGACAGAAGGGACCCTGTCTGTTGAAGTTCTTCAACTAATAACCATATTTGGGGGAGAAGTATCAAGTTTTTTATTGTGGATTAAAGTGTGAGAAATGTGAGCAGTGCAGTAAGTGCAAGAAGTGGGAAGTGTGAGAAGGGAGAACTGTGAGAAGTGTGAGAAATGTAAGAAGTGAGAAGTACGAGAAGCGAGAAGCGTGTGAAGAGCAGGAAGTGTTACAAGTAAGTAGGGCGAGAAAAGAAAGTGTTAGCATAGATCTTGCCAGCTCTATTGTAAACTGATGACATCTCAACACCAGTCTAGTACTGAGATTAAATTCATAAAGTCTATGTACAACCGCGAAGAGCTCATCCGAACAATTCCCAGACGTCACGAGTTCCAGCGCCTCATGAGGCTGGCATCCCGCTCTCATCCCTTCACTGTCGAAACTCCTAAATATAGCCGTCTCTTCTACTCTAATAGCTTCATGTCTCGCACCTCTCGCCTGTGGAACTCCCTTCCCTTTTCCTGATTCCCTGTGAGCTATAATCTCCAGCTATTCAAGTGTAATGTCAATCGACATCTCCAGTTACCTTGATCTATCCACTATCCTTCTCCTCATCCTTTCCTCTATCACTCCTATCTGATCTTGCTCTAAATTTTCTGTAACCCCTTGCGTCCTAGTGGCTTTCCGCCTTGCTTGGGGTGAAATGCCTAAAAAAAAATATTATGTAAGTATTTATACAAGAGACACAGAGAGGAGGTGAAAGTGACTGAAAACGAACCAACATATGAGAGCCAATAATATTGCTGATTCTTCTTTGGATCTTATCACGGCACCCAAGCTAAATTTCACGGGCAGCGGACCATATGTCAGCAATATTCTAAGCATGGACGAATGGTAGACTTATAGATATGCAAAGTAGATTCCGGGAAGAAAAATTGTCTCGCCCAACTCAGTGAACCTAATTTCTTAGCAGCTGACACAGCAATGGATTAAATATAGTTTTTCTGCTTCCTGTCAGATGAGAACGTGAGCGTGAGAAGACGCAACGAATCACTTTCCTGGATGCTACCATCAGCCATGCTGATGGAAGGAAGCGAGGGGTCTTTGAGATGATTAATAAAGAGTTCAGTTCAGAATTATCTGTAGGTTACCCAGTCCGATATACACCTGATGAAAGCCTCAGGGCACATCGGCCTAAACGTCTTAATAACAACAAAAGTATGAGGACATTAATTTGAATGTAACTAGGGAGTAATAGGTGAGTTGAATTTTAGTCGTATGTCACAGTATTCTTCCAGGTTCAGGCAGTTCCTCTGGTCAATTAAAACTTTAAAAAAAAGCTTTTAAAACGTATTTTTCACTGGTGTTAAGTTCTTAGTTTAAAAAGAAATGCGCTTTCCTCCTTAATTTATGACGGTCGTCTTCGAGTATAGAATCCAGAGGTTGGCAGTGAATATTTCGTAGACAGTAGGAAAGCGTACTTTAGGTTCGCAGTGGATATCACAGCAGAGTGCAGTTCTTCCTTCTGTCGTGTTCGCCTGACAAGTTGGCTCTGGTCCTTCCAGTAGGGAAAACAAAGATGGCCGCCTTTATACACGACGGATACAGTGTTCTGCGGCTTCTGATTGGTTAATCTTCTATTGGTAGACCATAAAGGGAAATAAGTCATTCGGACTCGCTCACTAGTTATATATATATTATATACACAAAAAAACCGTAACAAAAAGCTTTCTATATTTTCTCTTAATTTTAGTTCTTTTTTATGTGGAGAGTGGTAGGATGTTTTTTTAGGGATTAGTCGATTCTAAATTTTTGCAATACCGATAATTATTTATAATTGTATAAAATAGCTGTATATTCTATCAGGGGCTAAATGTTAAACATATAGTTTAAAGGTATACTACAGTTTTGGTTTAAAGTGTTTAACATCAGGGATGGAGCGTATGTAGACACTTTTTTATTAACTGAGGTAAACTGTTCTTGTTCCACTGTCTATGTATAGAGATATCTCGTATAGATTCCTATTTTTACTACTGCTCAGTTATTGATCGCAACACAACGAACTAACGTATTTATCGCAACGGAGAAAACTAGAAATTTATATGAGCTCCACCTACATAAATACAAGAAACTACCCAAGGAAATCATAACTACGACTTAGAAAAATGCACCAAAAACTACAAAATACCATATTTACATTGGAAGAATAAAAAATCGCCTAGGCGACCGAATAAATTGCATCACTAAAGCACTAAAAGACCTCAGAGAAAATTTTAAAACTAACGCAACATTCAAATTCATTAAACCAACCAAAAGTGAACTATGAAAAAAATAATAACTCTAGAAAGAATTAACCCAGAGCTAAGGATGAAGATAGGAATATATCAGTAAAAAAACACAAAAACAAATATATACTGCTAACGCAACCTAAAAAACAAAAAACAAAAACATAATAAGGAATTTATGCAACTAGATACAAAAGATTTATACCCCTCTATAACAGAACATATGCTAGATAAGGACATCTACTTAACTTAAGAACAAATAAAAATAAACACAAACGAAGTAAAAATCATTTAACTCTCTGTAAAATCAAAATTATTCAACAACGAAGATGCTGGGATAATGAAAGTAGGAACCTTCGACATTACAGTTGGGTGCTTTGACGGTACATTTTCCCGAAAGCTTATAGGTAAACATTCCCTACATTAAATAATCGATAAAAAAATGTTATAGGCCCCTACAGGGATGACGATCTCATAATCATTACAAACTGCAACAAAGACAAAAACAGATAAAACCCAAAAAATAAGCATAAGGATTTCCATAAATATAGGATTCGACATAGGCATAAAAACTAACGTAAAATAGATTTACTAGATTTCACATTCAGTCTAAGAAAACGTACGTATCAACCATATTGAAAACCCAACGACAAACTACTTTACACGCACACATCTTCCAACCAGCCCTCATCAGTAAAAAATCAGATCCTACAATCAATTAACTGCGGGTTATCTAACAGTTACTCTCGTGAAACAACCGTCAAGGAAGCCAAGGAAGATTGTTTTCGCCGCAGTTTCTTGTGCTTATTTTTTTCTTTTTTTATCCCATATTTTTCCTTAGGCATTGGTTTGTGCAATTACAAGCCAAAATACCTAAGGTTTTTCCAAACGAATATAAATATTTATAAATTTTTTTTAACATACAACGTGTGTTAGCACGTGCGATACCCTGTCTTCATCAGCCGCCGACTAGGGGTGATATCACGGTTTCGGTGGCTATGGCGGTACCGCCACCCCTGGCGCCACCAGCAGCGTTTGACACCAGGCAGAGTATGAAGATAAGCTAATTGATCGTTCCTTTAAGTAAATTCTATCTGTAATGAAAGTTTCCTGAACATATATATATATATATATATATATATATATATATATATATATATATATATATATATATAGCAGTAGAGCCCTGGGGATGTAACAGTAAGAGATAGATCAAGCATCGACCATCATAAAAATTGAAAAATAAAATTGACAAAGATTATTGTTTAAGGTTGACGGACACGCATGTCTTAATTAGTTTTTTGTTTGTTTTTTTTTTTAAGAATTGGTCAAACCCAAACTCAAACAAAAACATTGTTTTCAATCGTTATGAGTCTACCGATTGAATAGAATTTTATTATAAACAATTGTCTTGTCAATGGAATTTTTAAAGCATTCTGAATGTAAAAATAAAGAAGAAAGTGTGCAAGACAATAAGAAACACTACCTGCCAAAAAAAAAGTGAAGTTTTGTTGAAATCGGTTGAAAAATGTAGGAAATCCGATTCCATATATAAACGAACACACACACATGCACAAACAACTTGGGTTTTATAATAAGTATAACTCGATATGAGTTGTCCCCCTTTCATTCTGGCGACAGTGATGCCTCTTAATCGTGTTTTCAAATTGATTTTGTGCAAAAACAATTGTTTTTCCAATTTTTGGCACTGTCAGAACCACCGCAAGTTAATTTTACGTAGTCCTGTGAAGTTTTGTTGAAATCGGTTGGAAAATGTAGGAAATCCAATCCAATATATAAACGTACAGACACACACACACGCACACAATCTGCGTTTATAATAAGTAAGATATATATCTTTCATTAAAGACGAATGACTAATTACTGAGATTAAGTTTCTTATTGTGTTCGTATAATCCGCAATATACTCATAGAAACCACAAGTATAATAAGTTCACCCAAATGTAAAAATGTGCTAAAATTAATGGAGGTATTAATAAGAATTAACAAGCCAACATTCAATAATATCAACTACGAACACGGCTAAAATTTCTATACCTTTAGATACATGCATTAAAAGTCCATACAGTCAGTTAAAAATAAAAATAAACATAAAAAAAATCATTCTTGATAATGGTTAAAAGAATAGCCAAAAGCTCACGGGCATACTGAAAATTCGGATAATTTATACATAATGCATGTCCAGAAAAGGAAAAATATTTTTTTAAAATAATAAAAACACTAAAATAAAAATATAAAAAAAAATTTATACGAATACTAAAGAAATTACATAATATATATAAAAACATAATATCAATAGTACCTTGTTAGTTGTCTTTATTGAAATTTGTATAAAAGAGCGATTGCTACCCAAATACATAATTATATATATATATAGAGAGAGAGAGATAGATAGATAGATAGATAGATAGATATGTATGTATAATTGTCTTAGACTTAACCTGCAAAAAATACAATATGTATAAAGAAAAAAAAAGACCATTGTAGTTTTAGCCGACGCGTTTTTTTTTTTTTTTTTTGCCTTGATAAAGTCCACATTGCATGAAACCCGTCGGGTAAAACTGCAGTTTTCCTTTTGTCTTTTTCCCTTTATATATATATATATATATATATATATATATATATATATATATATATATATATATATTGGGGCATAGATATATTTGTTTGTGTCTACCGAACAGTTATCATGTCCAAGGATCTTACCAAATCGGAACATTATCATCAGTGATCACTTCCCAGGTCCATTTTTTTCCTCCTCCTTTTCTTCTTGTCTTTCGCATCATCAGTGTATCTACTAATTGGAAATTGACATTAGCTCATCTTGTCTCGTTCTATTTTCTTACGAGATATCGAAGTCGGCGTCACCTTACCTCTTTCTCCCTCCAATTTCTTTTTCCTTGGCGCGAAAACCGTTTTTCCATCGATCAAATTGACTCGGGATTGGCGGGCAATGGTCGAATGGCGGGAGAGAGTTACAGGTTCCACAGTCTAATCTGTAAGGCTAACTTACGTATTTTCCTAGTGTTACATTTGTTTAGTTTTGTTTTATTTCCTGAGGTCGCTAATATATTTCTTGCTTGATGGATCACGCTAGAAAAAATTTTAAAAAATAAAACAATGGAAACAATGAAATGAAAATAATGGCTTTTGTGATGAAGGTTTGTTTATCCGATACATTTACTCAGGAATAAAAATAAGTTATAGCATTGAAATGTGTAAGAAAAAAAAACGGGGTGAAAATGGGGAAATATCCTATTAACAAAAAGTGTTCCGGGAAAGTGTTTTTTTGTCTGCAGTTTTCTTTTTAATTTGTTCCTATATTACTACAAAATTCTTCTTCTTCTTCTTCTTCTTCTTCTTCTTCTTCTTCTTCTTCTTCTTCTTCTTCTTCTTTTCTTCTTCTACTTCTTCCTTTAGTATTTTGTCTTCTTCTTTTGACTTTCCCTCGATTTATTTATATTCTTCTGACTATCTTCACATTTCGACCCGATTCACATCTTGTTTCTATTCTTCTTCTTCTTCTTCTTCTTCTTCTTCTTCTTCTTCTTCTTCTTCTTCTTCTTCTTTATTCTTTTTTATTATTTTTCTACATTTTCTTTTTCTTCTTTTTTCTACTTCTTCCTTTTCTGCTTCGCTGCCTTCACATACACGTAAACATCCTTGGGAAACTTATAAATCCATCTATTCTCCTCCAGCTATGGGTTAAATAGTATGACGTGTATTTGGAATATTACTATCTCCAAAACAATGTTAATGCAATATTCACTCAGAAAAAAAAAACATTATTCTTAGAACCTAAAATATATGTCGGCTTTAAATAAACGACAGTGTGATAAACCGTAAAAAAAAAAAATCATCTTGAATTCAGTACGCCCTGTGCGTGTCAAATTCTCCAACACCTCTTTCCTTATTATATGTCCTAGAAATTTCAACTATGTCACTCTGATTTTATGTATAATTCTCCTTGCTGTTCTCCATTTTCTTTAAAACTTCATCGTTGCTTACACAACCCGTCCAACGTATTCTCAGCATCCTTCTGTAGAACCACGCCTCTGCGAAGCTCCTTTGATATCTCTAATGTGGACATTCAATCAATAAATAACTTTGCTATTTTCTATTTTTCAGCGTAGATCCTTTCTATTATCTATGTTTGAGCATAGGGAAATAAAGAAAAATATTTTTGTTAGATTTCAGAGGTGCGCTACGAATATTAATTTTAACTTCATTCAGTCCATTTTGTAAATGCTATATATCTCGAAATACAACTGATGTAAGGAATATGCATACACCTGGGTCACCCATCATAGTAATATGATTGGCTGGTGTCAGCCATAAATACAGACTGATGTGGAGGAAGAGGGAGGACGCCTATTGAGACGCCTTTTGGCAACACCTATTGCCTACGCCTATTGCGTACGCCTAATGCCTACGACTACGACGAGGACCAGTCCATTACGGTTACCTGCTAGATTGTCCTACCCGGTTAGAGTAGTCCAAAACCACTTTGCTACTTCGAACAAATATATCTCTTTCCGGGACATATCAACAATCACTAAAAGTGACTACAAATTTAGAGAGAGCGGGTGGAAACGGACTAGTTTAAACTGGACGAATATTTGTTCTGGACTTTTTTATTCTTGAAGTCTATGTTATTTACATAATAACTTCCGACAGGGTTGTATATATATATATATATATATATATATATACACACACACACATGCACACACACACGCATATATATATATATATATATATATATATATATATATATATATATATATATATATATATATATATATAAACATCTTTTATATATGTTGGTTAATACATATCTATTAAATCGATTGTTACTTGTAATTTTACAATATAAAGTTCCACTGAACATCAAGCAATTTAATAAGCAATTCAAAATTTCTTCCCTTAGCTCCAGTTTCCTGTTGAGAAATGATGAAAATTAAGAATGAATTCCGTTTTATACACTGTTAAATGTGAAATGATAAAACAAAGCCCACACAAAACGAAAGAAACTAAAAGCAGTGTATTTGCGTGTTAGTCTTTCAATAATGGGATTATTTTGTTATGGCAAAATGAGGCATGTTCGTTTTGACGGGCATCGCATACTATCTTTTATTACAATAACAATGGAATATCACATAGAGAATACATGTTACTAGGCTAATAATAAATATATTACGACACTCATTTTTTCGCATATTCTAAGCTAACTTAAAAGCCGCAGAAATGCAGAATTTTAAGCCAGCTCCTGTGGAGGGCTAATTCAGCCTCCGACACCAACACTAAAGAGACCTCTCGTCCAGCTTAGAAAAGTGCAATAAAAATTTTGAATAAATAACTTTTAATTCCTCAATTCCCTCCATGGAACTTCAAAACCTTACTTTAAATCTCAATCGGGCTTTAACTATAATTCCGACCAAAATACCGATTTGTTCTGAAACCCCGATCTGGGCCGAAATACCAATTCAGGCCGACAATTGAATTCATCAAATCACAAACTCTGCGGAAGTTCAAAATCTCACACCAGGGAACCTTTTATTTCAACTCTGATTCTTTGGCATCTTGAAGAAACAGAACTGATTTCCTTAATTCGTAAAGTTTTGGAGATATTTTAAATTGAATTTTAAACAACAAATTTAAATTCACAAAATCTTTGTGTGACTTTAAAATCTATATAGATTAAAAAAAAAAAAAACTTTTAAAATCAGTAATTCTTTTCTGGTATTTTAAAATTTTAATTTTGATTTTTCAAGTATTTTAAAATTTTAATTTTAATTTTCAACTGAACACCGTTTCATACGGACATAAATCCCAATGCCGGATGTTCAAGTGCCAGATTAAGGGAAGATTTTCAATCCCGGGATCATCCTGATTCCAAAAAGGTGTCTATGTAGAGTAAGTGTGTCCCGAGTTAGAGGGAATTTCAGACACACGGACGGACAGAGAGAATTTGCCGTTTATTTACTTAAAAGAACTAATTTTCCTCCATCTTATTTTTACTTGAATTAAAAGAATTAAAAGACGATAAGTTTATATATTCTTTTGCTTTAACCGTATTGGTTAGTGAGACATTAGTTGACAAACAAATATCTAAGTAAATGCTCTGTTTATAATAAACAATATTAATAACATGAACGTCCAAGAAATTATCATACAAAAGATGTGTCCTCCGACAGGAATCGAACCTGTATCCTATACGGAACCGTCATATAGCCTGACGTGCTATATCATTTAGCTACAGAGGAAGGAATTCTAATCGATTCCATTATGTGCTAATAACCTTGGGAAAGGTATGGATCCTCTTCTTCTCCACGCAGCTATGGGTAAATAGCAGGACAGACCGGGTTCTATAACCTTAAGATTTTTATTTAATTTTTCTTGTGTTCTGACAAGAGTTTTCTTTTCTGGACAAAGGGTGTGTAAGAACTGTCCAAAGCCAACTCTTAATAATATTAACTACGAACAAAGCCACAATGTGCTAACCGTATTCGGAAATTAAAAATATCCCTCCCACACACTGATACATACACAGAACGCACAGACTCAATTAAGCTGAAAATCGAATCATCCTTGATAATGGCTAAATTTATAGCCGAAAGCGCTCGGAAATATAAAACATTTGGACAGTTCTTACACAATTTCTTTTCTCCAGAAAAGAAAAACTTTGTCAGAACACAAGAAAAAAATTAAATAAAAGCTTAACCGTAGTACCTTGTCTGTCGTTTTAATGAAACATGCATGAAGGAAGGATTGCTGCCTAAATATACAATATATATATATATATATATATATATATATATATATATATATATATAAATGTTTTCCTAGTATTTTACTATAAATATCTATTTTTACAATTTCATAGTGTTTTCAACCCAAATTGGCTAACTATTTGCCCATAGCTAGGACCCTGACAGGGGCTACCACCCCGGGCCAGGGTGGACCTGCGAGCAATAGCAATTGAAAGGTGCTACCACGCTCAACGAAAACCGCCTTGCTGACGGATGTAATTCATCGTCATAGCCAGGATGTCGAGTATCTTTGTCAATTTTGTGTCATAACATTGTAGTATTTAAGAGTGATTTTAATATAACAGCGATTCTTAATAGATTCAGACAGATTATCGTGATGAATATATTTCTCAAAGTAACTTCTCTATCTTTTTTTGCTAACAATCTATCTCAGTTTGTTCTTATCTATTTATCGAACTCAGATCATATCTATCTATCTGAATCTGTTCATATCTACCTATCTCTCTCTCTATCTCTCCCTCTCTCTCTCTCTCTGTATACATATATATATATATATATATATATATATATATATATATATGTTTAAATCAGTTCATATCTATTTATTTATTTCAATTTGTACATATTTTAATCTATTCCTTCTCCTTATCTGCCTGTTTGAATCAGTGCATATCTATCTATCTATCTATCTATCTATCTATCTATCTACGCGTCTCAATTAGTTCATTATCTATCTATCTATCTATCTGGGTGAGAGTAAAAGTATTGTAGTAAGCATTATTCTCTGAACAAATTCAGAAAATAATGCTCACTTATTTTTCTATGTCAGTATGATTTAAAGCACACACGCATGCACACAAAATAAATAAAAGTACAAAAAACCTTGTGTTTTGTTCTGAAGCTAAACCTTTATTTTTTTAATGTCATTTATCTATTTGAAACTCTGGCCTACTTTCTTGTCTCTATGGTCACACTTCTTACAGCCTGAATGTGCGGTTTTTTGGGGTTTTTTTTTGCTATTCTTTCGTTTCGTTTTTCATTATCTCTTTGTATTTCGTCTTCATTTTGCCCAGTTCTCCTTTTAATAGATTTCCCCTAAACACTAATCCTCTTAGCCGGAATCAAATCAAATCAAACAAGACAAAAGCAACAAAAACAAAGAGAAAGAATGCAATAATATCAATAACAGCAATAAAACACCTTATTTTATTTTAGCGGGAAAATAAAATTGAAAGAGGACCCGATAAGTTGGAGAAAACCAAAAAACAATGCAGATATATTCTCTTCGCTTTCTTTTCTCATTCGTCAACAGACCCAATTCAATAAGATTGATCTGGTTACGAATAACTCATTTTTACAAAACTTAGCCTTTAATTCCAGTATATTAATTGAACGCTTCTGTTAATCTATAAGAACCCAACGAAAAGGGTCTGTCACATTTATTTTTTAAAATTAAGTTTTTTCTCCCAGCCTTTTGGACAGAGTAATTCATCTTTTTCTACTTTAAGACGTACGCAGAGTTACTATAACCCCAACCCTATTTACACGACTATATATATATATATATATATATATATATATATATATATATATATATATATATATATATATATATATATGGCTGCGTTTCGTACTTTTTTTTTCTTAGAAGATAGAGCAAAAATACATGATTAGCAGAACCTATAAATTTAAAAAGAAATAAGCCAACGTTTTTATTATAACCAAGTTAGATGCTAGAAATATGCATTTTGGCACAGATCTTTGAAGCAGTGTGCAATTATCTGTTACTATACACACGCACACACACACATATATGTACATCTTAACGGATTTTTATTAATATATTATATATATTAATATATATATATATATATATATATATTTATATATATATGTACATATTAATATGTACATATATATATATATATTGATGGATTTTGTTAATTTATATATCTTATTAATATATTATATATATTAATATATATATAAATTTACATATATATGTACATATTAATATGTACGCACACATCTCTCTCTCGCTCTCTCTCTCTCTCTCTCTATATATATATATATATGTGTGTGTGTGTGTGTGTGTGCGTGTGTGTATGTGTGTGTGCGTGTGTGTGTGTGCGTGTGTGTACATATTAATGGATTTTTATTAATATTATATATTTTATTAATATATTATAGATATTAATATATATATATATAATTTGCATATATATGTACATATTAATATGTACGCACACACGCATATCTATCCATCCATCTCTCTCTCTCTCTCTCTATATATATATATATATATATATATATATATATATATATATATATATATATATATATATATATATATATATATATATATATATATATATATATATATATATATATATATATATATATATATATATATAGAGGATGCACGGTGGAGTAATGGATAACGGCTTGATTGAGGAATCGGAGAGCCGAGTTCGAATTCTGTCGAATCCCTTACATTCACTTCACTAATATCCTTGGGTGTAAATCCTCTTCTTCTCCCTCCAGCTATGGGTAAATAGCAGGACAGATGGCTTGGATGGCAACTGGTCTAGGAGAAGGACAACTCTGAATTCAAAACCTGCGTTGGGTCGTTTGGAGACCTTGTGGCACTTAGTATACCAGGTCTCTGTATTCGGCCCGTGTGGATGGACACCTTCACCACTATAATCAAATGTCAGGCTGTCGGTTTCCTGGGAACTCATCTGCTTGACCCTCATACGTCGAATTCGACGGGAGAGTCGAGAATATGCATACATACATGGATTTTCCAACATTATTTCTTATTACTTTGCCAACGAAAAATTAAGTTTATTTTTCATACTTTTTACAGTAATGTTCAATCTTTACAAGGCTCGAAGTAGACTGTGAGATTAGGAGTTAATCTGTGCAGATAAGAGGGAAAGATAATGGTTAACCCTAACCTTGACTAGATTAAGATTATAGTGATTGGGGAATCATTCTCTTGAGAGTCGCTTCCACAGAACAGTGGTTAGCCAAAAAAAAAGCTGTTTGAGTGGAAATAACTTCACGCCGATGGAATGCGGGGGTGGATTTAATGTGGGTGATTTGCTACAATGTAAGTGGCATGGCGGGTCCTAGACGTGGAAGTTAGACCTGGCGGGACACAGGAATGTAGTTCATCTGAGAACTTTCCGTGGAAGTAGAAATAGAAAAGCGAGAGGCTTGCTACATCCCGCTTATGGGAGAGAGGTGGAAGGGTGGAGAAAAATTCGTCTCCCACATAGGCTCGGAGACGCTTTTGGACTCTATCAAAGCTGCTGGAGAGTGAGGTCTGCACAGCTCACGCCCTAATATGACAACAGTAAGCCATTTTTGACCTGAACTGGCACTTGTAAAAGTAGAGGGAAGCTAGAAACATCCGTTATTTGGATAATAGTAACTTGATACAGAGAAAGATATTATAAATTTCATCCGATAGCAGTACTGGCTGCTGGGTCAATGAATGCCAAATGTTACCTTGTAGAGAAATAGATAATACTATTATTACCATTACCATTTGCATTATTGGTGCTAACCTTATCAATATTTTTTTCTGTTACTATGGCTAACGGGAAATCGGAGTTCGATTTCGGAGAGAGAGCATTTGAAACGGCTACCACATCTAAGGAAGGCAGCTGGTACAGGAACGGATGAAGACACTTTAAATCCGTTAACGAGGACCACAAGACTGGTGCCAGCAGCCGTTGTAATTAATTCTCATAAAGCTCATAATTCGAACACGGTTTCGTGGTCGGCACCATCGTCTGTCGTTGACATTCGTCCTCCATGTGAACAAACGACCCTTCCCGCTGGTTTGTCACTCACTATCTATATGTTTGTTTCAAGTTTTTATCTTTCTGTATACAAACACACGCACATATTACATAAATACATATATATATATATATATATATATATATATATATATATATATATATATATATATATATATATATATAAACATACATTAGACTTTGCAAAATTTATTGGGTGAGCGTGTTGTGCATAGAAATTGGTGTATTAATAGTTATAGATTATGTGGACATAGTATTATTGGGATAGAAGAAAAAAGAAGTTACGTTTCATACCTAATAAAAGAATACTTGCCATCTTTCTATGAAGAGCATAGCGTAATTCCCCATGTATAATACGCCTTCATCCATAATCAGTTATGTGCCATGCGCGATACACGGTTAGGCGATCATGTATCTTTTCGATACATGACTGACGAGGCAGATTTTTTTCCGCAGTAGGTTGCTTTTTCTTTCTGCGGTAGACCAGTTGACATCCAAGGCCATAGAACCCGGTCTGTCCTGCTATTTACTCATAGCTGGGGGGAGGGAGAAGAGGTTTCATACCTTTCCCAAGGGTATTAGCACGTAGCCCAAATGTAATGGATTCGACTGGAATTCGAACTCGGCTCTCCGATTCCTCAATTCGAGCTGCTATCCACTGAATACGCACCCATAAAATTGTACTGAAAGTGTGGTAATATGCTTCTACTCACGCATAATACGCACCCCTTGTTTGGTAATCAGCCCCTATAAATTGTACCTCTCCAATTTCATTACGGCCAGCGTTTCCTACTCTTATAAAAAATGGCTTTAAACAGAATAATATTATTCTAATTTAATTTTATGATAATTCTTATTTTATTTTACATTTGTAAGTATTGTTAGGTACATATGATTGTATTTGACACTTTATGGGGTCGCAATCGCCAAATGTTAGTATCAAATTGTCGTATGTTCGTGGTGAGTAGTCATTTCGAAACTGAAATCGACCTATGAAAGGGCAATATTTTAAGATTTTAGGTATCTTTGCATAATACGCACCCCTACTTTTGCTTATTATTTTTTTAATAAAAATATGCGTATTATACGTGGAGGATTACGGTAAGCATTTGGAATCTTATCTTATGTCTTAGCATTGATCTTATCTCAAAAAACCATTCTTACTTAGTTCGATACTAGTTGGCGGATTTAAATGGTGCAGACGTGTTCAGTTTGATTTAAAAATCATAAAAATGAATGCAATTGATTTAACGTGTCCTTTGCAAAACGGTAGAATATTATATGAGACTGTATTCTATTGCTCCTCTCTCTCTCACTCCCTCTCCCTCTCTCTCTCTCTCTCTCTCTCTCTCTCTATATATATATATATATATATATATATATATATATATTTAATGTAAATTCTATACTAATTCATATATATATATATATATATATATATATATATATATATATATATATATATGGATGTGTGTGTGTGTTTAAACAATAAAACATAAAGGAAAATAGTGGAATTCAAGTATACCTTTTGTCGTTTAATCTATATTTCCCATACTTATTTATAAATCCTTTTGTCTTATTCCAAATCTATTTCATTTCTTTTTATATATATATATATATATATATATATATATATATATATATATATATATATATATATATACACGTGTGTATGTTTATGTGTGAACGAATATATATGTCTGTGTTTATATGTATGCATATATATATATGTATTTGTATGTAAATATGTGTGTGTGTGTATATATACACACACACACATATATATATATATATATATATATATAATGTGTTTGTGTTTATAGATACGTGTGGTATATGTGTGCATATACTTGTGTGTGTATATATGTATGTATAGATATGCATATGTGCACATGTGTGTGTGTATATATGTGTGTTTGTAATATGTATATTTTATATATATATATATATATCTGTGTGTACGTATAAATACGTGTGCATTATATATATATATATATATATATATATATATATATATATATATATATATATATATATATGTATGTATTTTTGTCCTGCAGATGATTGATGTGTAATTATAAATCTTATTTAACACAAGACGAATTTCCACGTTTCGCAAAGGAATGTCACGTGACTAAGCTTCACCTGACTATGCCAACTTGGGAAAGTGGCTGACGGCGTGTGAAAGAAGCCGGAAGGAAGAACGTGACGGAATAAAGATGAACCTAATTTCACTTTCAAACTGACAATCCTTGAACAATGCCATAATTACGCATACATTCTTCCTCTATATTACCTGTGCATGTATAAAGACGAGGTTTTAAGAGCCAAGACAATGGGTTACGGCCTACTTACGAACAACCACCTAGCGTAGTTCAAAACCGCTCGTGATGGGAAAGGCGGCGAGCATTTATTTGCGTTGCAACGCTCCACTGATTCTCTCTAATTGTGTGCTTTGTTTCTCAAGAACTGCATGTTCATGACGCTCCACAACTTCCTGTTTTTGGTTTTGCTCCTCGTAATACATTTTGCTTTTTTTTTTAACCTTCTTTCTTGTGGAAAAATAAGTGAAATTACCTGAGCTTATGACACGGCCGTCGGACGTGAAAACTGAGAGTTTGATGAATTCTGGTTTATCAAAGCGAGGCTGATCGAAGGCACTGATTTTGTAGTTTTTATTACCGGAAATGGTGAGATGCGCATGTCTGCTCTTTGTTATTTAACGTCTGCCTTCTCTTCCTTTTCTCATCTTTTATTTTTGAGAAGGACATTACGCGAATAGAGTCGTTTGGCGAGCTCTTCTCTCTATTGACATAAAACAAATTCAATTTAGTCGCAAAAAATGAATAAAAAGATGGACTTTGTTAGTATTGTTTAATAAAGATTTTATCAAAGAATTGTTACTTTGTTAATTAACTTTAAAAAAAAGAATTCAGCAGCTAATAAAATTTTAAATAAATATTTTTGAAAAATTCAATGAGATTTGTGCCAAGGAAAAATATTAAAATAAATGTAAAATATTGAGATATGACGTAGGAAAATATTCATTTTTTCACAAGCATTTAAAACATTCACACACACACACACACACACACACACACACACACACACATATATATATATATATATATATATATATGTGTGTGTGTGTGTGTGTGTGTGTGTGCTTTAATCAATTCACGCCATGCAAGGCTGTAAAGCCACTAAGGCACAAGAGGTTTTCGAGTGTGTAAGAATAAGAAAAAAACAAATCCTAATGAGCGGGAACAATAGAAGAAAACAGTAGATAACGATTGACATTACATTTAAATATTTGAAGATCAAAGTTGGATGAAAAGCAAAAAGCCTTAAGAGTGTTCCACAGGGGAGAAGTGCAAGAGAAGAAACTGTTAGCATAGAACTTACGGTTGCCTCTAACCATTTCAACTGTAAATTAATGAGACCTTGCCGCCAATCTAGTACTGCGATTATTCATAAAGTCTAGCGTACCATAACGAAGAGCTCAGCCCAACAATTACCATGAAAGTAACCATAGAAAAGACACAGGGAAATTACACTACAGCGGTGGATAAATAACTGAAACCGAGATGCCAAGTCAGGACCACTAATATTACTTATTCTTCTTTGGATTATATCAAGAATCCAAATAAGAAAAAGAACAAAAAAAAATAGAAACAACATTTCGTAATATTTACGTTTTTCTTTTTTTTAAGTGCTCAATACAAAGTAGAGCAAAATATTATTATTTTTTTTTACTATACGAGATTATAATAAAAACATTTTACAACGCTACACAAAAGCTTTCATGTGTCAATACTATGACTGTACTTCCTAAGACAATGATTGGTAACTTGTGTCAAAAATGATTATTTAGAGAAATTTAAAAACAAATCGTACCTCTATTCCGAAACTTAAAGGGTGGGGGCATAAAGTCAAAATTAAAAATATCCTTGTGAGTATTTCTCGATTAACAGGTTAATCGAGACATACCTCACAAGTATATTTTCTTTGTTAATCAAGATATACTCACAAGTATATTTTTAATTCTGACCTTATGCCCCCACCCCGCCACTTAAGTTTCGGAAAAGCGCTAACGATTTTTTTTAAAAATATCCCTAAAATTCCTTTTTAATCACTAGTTACCAATCATCACCTGAGGAAGTATAATCATAGTATTGAAACCTGAAAGCTTTTGTGTAGCGTTGTAAAATGTTTTATTGTAATCTATTATAATGAAAATATTATATAATATTATAAAATGTTTATGAAGAATCTCTAAATATATAGCAGGAACACATGGGCCATATGTGACCGCAATACACAAAATAAAAGACTTATAAATATGTCAGATAGATTCTGGAATGAAAAATTGTCTAACACGGTACAGTGTAACAACTTTCTTAAGAGCAGACCTAGCAATGGATTTGTTATAATATTTCTACTTTATTTTTAATTTCTATTAAATGTTATATTTTCAACAAAAAATAAATAAATAAAATTTCAATTAACCACTGCGATTATAGGTAGCAAAGTTATTATGGTATCCATTTGTTTCATTTTTTTTTTTCAGTTTTTCTGGTGAAGTTCTTATTAAACGTAACGTTGACAGCATAATAAAAAAATATTTAAAAAAATAAGCACCAGCTGGATTTCACATAATAATAATAATAATAATAATAATAATAATAATAATAATAATAATGGGAAGAAAAAGATGATGGTGAATAGGATGAAGAAGTAGAAAATGAAGAAGATGAGGATAAAGAAGAAGGAAAAGGCAGAGGTGAATAATAATAATAATAATAATAATAATAATAATAATAATAATGGGAAGAAGAAGATGATGGTGAATAGGATGGAGAAGTAGAAAATGAAGAAGATGAGGATAAAGAAGAAGGAAAAGGCAGAGGTGAATGCTTGCTAACTAGGAATTATCAAGCACATATACTAAAATATTGTGTCAGCCCAAAATGCAGATTCTGTGATAAATATCCAGAAACGATTGATCATCTTGTATCAGGTTGTACGGTGTTGGCACCCACTGAATATAAAACCCGACATGACAGAGTGGGCCAATATCTGCACTGGAATATCTGCAACTTCAACGGGAAGAAAACAGAAAGAAACTGGTATGAACACCACCCAGACCCGGTTACGGAGATAGGACCTGTTACAATTCTATGGGATTACACAATACACCCTGACAGAACAATCAAGGCCAACCGGCCAGATATTGTTATTAAAGACCACAAACAAAAAAAGTGCCTCCTTATTGATATGGCAGTCCCTGCTGACTGCAATATATCTTTGAAGATATTCAAAAAGCTGTCAAAGTACAAGGACCTTGAAATAGAAATCTCGAAAATGTGGCATATGGGAACATCAACAATCCCTGTTGTAGTTGGAGCCCTAGGACTGGTTGAAAAAGATTGCAGTAGACTAATTGAAAGGATCCTGGAAGTCCATGCCTCAAGGAGATACAAAAAATTGTTCTGACAAGTACAGCCCACACCTTACGAAGGGCTTTATCCATGTAATTTTTTTTTTTTTTTTTTTCAGTGGAAAGTGTCATGACGCCATTTCTAACCTTAGGTCCCTGGGCGGGACCCGGAAAGAAATGTGTAAACGCCAGAAATCAAATGATAATAATAATAGCTGGCCACTCGTATTCGAGGATACCTGTCTATTAGGACAGCTAGTCAATCCCTATTGCAGACTCTCGCTCAAGCACAGTGTGTTTCATACTGCAACAATGCTGAGCAGACCTTAGTTACAGTTTTCTGGGATCAACAATCTGAACAACGCCAGTATATTCAAACGCTCAGTCACGATGACTTGTGACTTCATGCTATCACAATTATCAACGGACCCAAGTAAGAAGTAAGAGGGGGGAAATGATCAATAAAAAAAAACGAAAACGTGAATCATTGGCAGAAAAGAAGAAAATAAGGTGAAAATATACAAAAAAGAAGGAAAAACAGAAGGAAGGACGACGAATATGAAAAGGAAGAAAAACAAAAAATAAGGATACTCGATATAACAAAAGAGATAAGAGAAAATAATAATAATAAGAAGAAGAAGAAGAGAAAGAAAGATAAGTGAGAAGAAGAAAAAGAAGAAACGTCGAAAATAAGAAGAAAGATAAGTGAGATGAAGAAATACGTTGAAAATAAACATAAAAGAAGAGACAATAGAAAATAATGATGATGAGAAGGAGAGAGAAAGAAGAAGAAGAAGAAGAAGAAGAAAAGAGATAAGAAGCGTCGAATATTTCTCAAAAAAGAAAAAGAATAGGGAATAGAAAGATAAAGAAGAAAAAAGAAATAAAAAAGAGCGTCAAAGAAAATAGGTTTAGATAAGAGAATTAAATAAAAGAAAGGGAAAGAGTGTCGAGGAAAATAGAAGAAGAAGAAGAAGAAGAAGAAGAAGAAGAAAACGAAAAAGAAGAAGTGATAAAAAGAAGCGTCGAAAAATGAGGGGAAAGAGAATTGAGAAGAGGAAGAAGAAAAAGAAAATGATGATGAAAATACATTGAAAATAAACATAACAGAAGGAATAAGAGAAAATAATAATAATAATGACGAAAAGAAGAAAAAGAAGAAAAAAGAAGAAGAAAAAAAAAGATCATGGAGAAGAAGAAAAGGATCATAAGCGGTGAAGATTTATCGAAGAATAAGAATAAAGAGAATTGAGAAGAAGAAGAAGAAGAAGAAGAAGAAGAAGAAGAAGAAGAAGAAGAAGATGAAGAAGAAGAAATACGTTGAAAATGAGCATAAAAGGAAGAAAAGAAGAAGAAAAGAAGAAGGAATAAGAGAAAAAATAATAATGTGAAGAAGAAAAACAAAAACGAAAAGAAAAGGGAAGAAATAGAAGCGTCGAATATTTATCGAAGAAGGATAAGATAAAATAATAATGTGAAGAAGAAGAAGAAGAAGAAGAAGAAGAAGAAGAAGAAGTTTCGAATATTTATTGAAGAAGGGATAAGAAAATAATAATAATGAGAAGAAGGAGAAAAGAAAAAGCGAAAAAGAAGAAAAGAAGCGTCGAATATTTATCGAATAATAATTAGACTGACAAAAAGAAGAAAAAGAAAAAAGAAGACGAAGGAAGAGCAATGAGAAGAAGGAAAAGGGTCATAAGCGTCGAAGATTTATCGAAGAATAAGGAGAAAGAAGTAGAAAATACTTTGAAAATAACATAAAATAAGGGCTAATAATAATAATAATAATAATAATAATGATAATAATAAAACAACCAAAGCCAACCGCCCAGATATTAGGACAGCTAGTCAATCCCTATTGCAGACTCTTGCTCAAGCACAGTGTGTTTCATACTGCAACAATGCTGAGCAGACCTTAGTTACAGTTTTCTGTGATCAACAATCTGAACAACGCCAGTATATTCAAACGCTCAGTCACGATGACTTGTGACTTCATGCTATCACAATTATCAACGGACCCAAGTGTTCCGTCTACCCAATTTCACTCACAAGGCTTAGGTCAACCCGTGTTATGATTTACAGGCACTTTCCAAATGTGCTGCACACTGGGATCATCCCCCCACCCAGACCGATAACGTCAGGGGGTTTCCTTCCTGACAAATCCACCCTGGTGAGATTCGAACCAGGATTTCATGTCCAGAAAGCGTTGACAACATATAAAATAAACGTCCAACTGGTTTTCATATATTTTCTTACATACAACACATATATGTGTTTTAAGACATTTTTTTTTTTATGGGTATACATTCTTTTTTATAGATACAATTTAAGTAAATGCTCTGTTTCTAATAAACAGAATTAAACAACATTTACCGGCCTGAATGTCCGAGAAATCTTCACAGAAAATATACACCCTCCGACAGGATTCGAACCTGTATCCTATACGGAACCGTCATTTAGCTTGACGTGCCTTTACCGATTTGGTTACAGAGGAACGTTCGATTAGCATGTTCGATTTTAATGCTTTTAAACTATAATCTTCCATGAATATCTTACGTACATTCATATCTGCTCAAAGCGTATCCAAATGTAAACAATGACGTCACATTATATTTAATGTGCAAAAGTTACATTATTTTAAGATTTTTTATGTTTATACATTTTTTATAGATACAAATATTTAAGTAAATGTTCTGTTTATAATAAATAGTATTAAACAGCATTTACCGGCCTGAATTTACTTAAATATTTGTATCTATAAAAAGAATGTATACATAAAATGTCTTAAAATAATTGTTTGATTTTGTCCATTACATTTATGTGTGTTTTGTCAGAATCAATTTAGTATAATGTCGACTAAAAGGCGGACATAATTTTAAGAATTGTGGGTATTTGTAAGCATGCATATTTGTGTATATGAATATGTGAGTATATATATATATATATAAAAAACATTAGGCAGCATATGATTTACATACAAAGAATAATCACACATAGAATTAATCAGTATTAATGCGATTATTGGCGACATCCGTCGTTAGAAAACATAATATATGCATTAAAATCCTGTTCATCCATAGTGCGAGTTTTGATCCTTGAAGAAAAACTTGTTGTCTGTAGTTTTTCAGTTTATTTGATGTTAAAATGCTAGTACTTACGGACGGTCTTCCATCCATCATCAGGCATGTGTTTTTTTTCTTATAAAATCAAAAACTTGAGACGATATACCTGTATGTCGACCGAAAGATGTTTTTTGAATATCTGCTATTGTTGATGGATGAACAGGATTTTAATGCATATATTATGTTTTTCTTTGCGACGGATGTCGCCAATAATCGCATTAATACTTCTGATTAATTCTATGTGTGATTATTCTTTGTATATATATATATATATATGTATATATATATATATATATATATATATATATATATATATATATATATATATATATATGCATACGTTCGTGTGTGTATATGTCAACGCATCTATTTGTGTGCGTGTTCGTGCGCGAATCTTTAAGTGAGCGTGAATTTATGTCTCCATGTGTGTGTGACTATGTCCACGTTAGAGCTTGTCAGATGCCATTACTGGTTACTGAAAATATTTGTTCAGGTCAAATTTTGTAACAGAGAACTCTCGTCCCTAATAAGTACAAAAGCAACGATAAAAAAAAATGTCTATACACACAGGCACACACACAAAAAAAAAGGAATTAGAAAAATAATAATGCTAGAAAAAACATTTCGTAACATGTAGCAGCCAACCCATCAAAAATTAAAATAAAGTTACAAAATTTAAACGGACAAAATAGATGTCGAGTGAATGTGTGAAAAAAATTTTAAGACAAACTATGTTCACATTCGGTTCGTTGCTAGAATATTCCTCGGTAGAATATACCCGGGAAGAATATACCCGGGTAGAATATTCCCGGGTAGAATATTTCCAGGTATAATATTCATGTTACTACTCACCAAAAGATTTTTGGCACAACTGGGATTTATTTCGTTAACAGAATTACGTCCATGGAGAAAATATTTCAGAATTTTATATTAACTTTTCATTATTTATTTTAATTAACAATTTTCTTTCTTCTCTGTCATCTTCTTCATTTTCTACTTCTCCATCCTATTCACCATCATTTTCTTCTTCCTATTATTATTATTATTATTATTATTATTATTATTCCCCTTTTTCCTTCTTCTTTATCCTCATCTTCTTCATTTTCTACTTCTCCATCCTATTCACCATCACCTTCTTCTTCCCATTATTATTATTATTATTATTATTATTATTATTATTATTATTATTATTATTATTCCCCTCTGTCTTTTCCTTCTTCTTTATCCTCATCTTCTTCATTTTCTACTTCTCCATCCTATTCACCATCATCTTCTTCTTCCCATTATTATTATTATTATTATTATTATTATTATTATTATTATTATTCCCCTCTGCCTTTTCCTTCTTCTTTATCTTCATCTTCTTCATTTTCTACTTCTCCATCCTATTCACCATCATCTTCTTCTTCCATTATTATTATTATTATTATTATTATTCCCCCTCTGCCTTTTCCTTCTTCTTTATCTTCATCTTCTTCATTTTCTACTTCTCCATCCTATTCACCATCATCTTCTTCTTCCCATTATTATTATTATTATTATTATTATTATTATTATTATTATTATTACCCTCTGCCTTTTCCTTCTTCTTTTATCCTCATCTTCTTCATTTTCTACTTCTCCATCCTATTCACCATCATCCTCTTCTTCCCATTATTATTATTATTATTATTATTATTATTATTCCTACTTCCCTTCGCGTTCGTTCCCTTTTATCTACACGCCATTGAATTACTTCTTAATTTTGTTCACGGCGGTTTATCGTAAAATTAGGAATAATAAATTAATATTACTCATCAAGCTTATCTCGACATTGTTTGTTTACTATGATATTTGTAAAAAGATATTGTCATGTTTATTTGGTCTCTACCATTGTCCTTAGTCAGCTGCGACGCATCAAATCTGGCGGCAGGGTGTGTTCAGGGAAAGATGTTAGGTAGAAATCTGAAGTTCAAATGCGGTCATGTGTCTCCCATGATGGCAACCATTTTGTTTGCCTTGTTAATTCGGACTGTCATTTGCGTAAACGCACACCCAGCAAAAGCAACCAATTAGTGATCATGTGCCCATTAGTAAAATATGCGACCTAACGAAAAAAGAAACATTCTCAAGATAATCATCGTAATCATCATGTTTATCAAAACCTTTTTATATATATATATATATATATATATATATATATATATATATATAGATAGATAGATAGATAGATAGATAGATAGATGAAGAGGAGGAACGGTTTTACATAGATATGGGCATAGAGAGACACTGAGGAAGATGAATGTATTAGATAGATAGATAGATAGATAGATAGATAGATAGATAGATAGATAGATTAGAACAGAGTGAGGTGGATATGAACTGATAGGTGTTTAGATAGATAGATAGATAGATAGATAGATAGATAGATAGATAGATAGATAGATTAGAACAGAGTGGAGGCGGATGTGAACAGATAGGTGTTCAGATAGATAGATAGATAGATAAATAGATAGATAGATAGATAGATTGGAACAGAGTGAGACAGATATGAAGACATATGAGACATGGGTATGAACTGATAGATAGATAGATAGATAGATAGATAGATAGATAGATAGATAGATAGATAGATGAAATTTAAGAAGAAAAAAAGGAAGCATCACTGAAGAAAAAAAAAAATTAACACTGAAAATAAAAACATTCTTAAGAATTTTTTATTTTCTAAAATTTGGCCAAAAGCGTAGATATATTCACATGAAAAATTTTGTGTTGAGAATGACACGCAAAATTCCAAAATATTCGGACATTTTTTTAATTTTTTTTTTTTTTTTTTTTTTGTCTATAATATTTTCTGAATGTTTAAAGTTAATTATGTTTTATTTTTCCGGGTTTCTTTTTTATTGTCGTATTTAATGGCTGTTTGCAACTAAATTGGAAATGATGTCTGGGTTGTAAGAAAGTTTGAAAGTTGGACGAAAAGAATAAGAAAAGTATAAGGTCATGAGGAGGATTTGGCATCCAATTAACTTCAATCTTTCTTCGTTCATTTTCCCATCAGATTTAAGTGTGTTTTTATCCTACAGTGATGATTGCTTTTTTCCTCCTGATCTATCTATCTATCTATCTATCTATCTATCTATCTCAGAGCACTTCATATCTATCTATCTATCTATCTATCTATGTTCATATTTATGCCTCTTCATATCTATCCCACTCTGTTCAAATCATCTATCTATCTATCTATCTATCTATCTATCTATCTATCTATCTATCTATCTATCTCAGTCCACTTCATATCTATCTATCTATGTTCATATTTATGCCTCTTCATATCTATCTCAGTCCACTTCATTATCTATCTATCTATCTATCTATCTATCTATCTATCTCAGTCCACTTCATATCTATCTATCTATCTATCTATCTATCTATCTATCTATCTATCTATGTTCATATTTATGCCCCTTCATATCTATCCCACTGTTCCAATTCCATTCATCTATCTATCATATCTATCTATTCATCTCATTCATCTATCTATCTATCTCTCTCTCTCTATCTATCATTCATCTATCTATCTATCTATCTATCTATCTATCTATCTCAGTCCACTTCATATCTATCTATCTATCTATCTATCTATCTATCTATCTATCTATCTATCTATCTATGTTCATATTTATGCCTCTTCATATCTATCTCACTCTGTTCCAATCTATCTATCTATCTACCTATCTATCTGTTCATATTTATGTCTCTTCATATCTAACTGACTTTGTTCCAATCTATCTATCTATCTATCTATCTATCTATCTATCTATCTATCTATATATATATATATATATATATATATTTCAGACCACTTCATATCTATCTCTATATATCTTTCTGTTCATATCTATCAGATAGTCATAGGAAAATCTTCTGGGAAACAAAGAAAAGGTACTAAACTCTTATGTAATATCAGTCTTCCTTTATAGAACAGAATGCTAGACAATCTCCTCACAGATGAAGAAGAGATTAGAGGTATCAGAAATCTAGTTCTACAGACAGATATTGAGAATGCCATCTCAATCAACCCCTTATCCCCCTCTATATATATCTATTTGTTCATCTATTCATCTATCTATCCATCTCAGTCCACTTCACATCTATTCATCTGTTCATATCTATGTTCATATTTATGCCTCTTCATATCTATCTCAGTCCACTTCCATATCTATTCATCTATCTATCTATTATCTATCTATCTAGTCCACTCCATCATTCATCTATCTATCCCATCTATCTATCTATCTATCTATCTATCTATCTATGTTCATATTTATGCCTCTTCATATCTATCTCACTCTGTTCCAATCTATCTATCTATCTATCTATCTATCTATCTATCTATCTATCTATCTATCTCACTCCACTTCATATCTATCTATCTATCTATCTATCTATCTATCTGTTCATATTTATGTCTCTTCATATCTAACTCACTTTGTTCCAATCTATGCCATCTCAATCAACTCATTATCTCCCCTCTCTATATCTATCTATCTATCTATCTATCTATCTGTGTTCATATCTATATCTCTTTATATCTATGTGATAATCATAGGAAAATCTTGTTGGATACAAATAAAAATGTACTAAACTGTTATGTAATATCAATTACCTTTTATAGAAGAGAAAGATACACAATCTCCTCACAGATAAAGAAGAAACTAGAGGTAACAGAAATGGTGTTCTGCAGAAGGATGCTGAAAATACCATGGACTGAAAATGTGTGTAACGCGGACATTTTAAGGAAAATGGGAACAAAAAATGCTTATACACAAAATCAGAAAGATGCATGTGAAATTTTCTAAGACATATAACGAGGAAAGGCCTCCTGGGACACGTGGAACAATAAATAAATAATTTTCATCTTCCCAATTTCTCTCGCAATTGAATGAACTTTGAATCAAAGGTTCGAATACACAATCCTGTTTTGACCCGTAGCAAAGAGAAGAATACATGGATTTCTTCTTCTGTCAGGGTCATTATTGCGAAAATGAACACAAAAGTCGAAAACCGAGTTCATTTGTTTTAATATTCGCTTAAAGACGCTATTGATTCTAGAAACATCCCGATTCAACATTCCTGAGTTAACAACGACCCCGCCTCTCTTGCACCCACGTCACATACACTTTTGTAAACAGAAATAAAGTGATGGATTCTTTTTTCTTGAAACAAAATATTTACCAAATTCCTGCACTGTTTTATTCCTCGTATTTGCGTGAGCCACGCGGTGCGTAACAATGCTTGATTGCTGTATTTGTACAAGATAAAGTGGGCGACAGATAGGCTCAGACGTTATCGTCCGGAAAATGAAATTGGCGGTCCTAGTTCAAATTGTAGCCTAGATGTTTTTCGTTCACTTTCACAATAATAATATCCCTGGCATAGGCATGAATCTATCTCCTATCCCCTCTGCTATGGGTTAAACAGTGTTATATAGGAATAAAGTGTCGCTGCCGACAGTTGAGTTTGAATATAGATCGCCAGTGAGAAAACACGGGCGATCCCATTATTGAATTAAGTAGACCACGTGACCATAGAGAAAACGCATAAGTATGAAGTCGCGTGACGTCTAATAGATCGCCATTTCTTGTCTATCTTCTATACTATACGAATCGCCATTACTCGTCTATCCTCTATACTATATGAATCGCCATTTCTAGTCTATCATCTATATTATATGAATCGCAATTTCTCGTCTATCCTCTATACTATCCAGATCGCCATTTCTAGTCTATCCTCTATACTGTACGGGTCGCCATTTCTAATCTATACTATTTCCCTACTATATTCACTATACTATTTCTCGATTCCGATCATTATACGGATTACTATTCGAACGAATATTATCGAGCAAGTACGATAAGTGCAAGTGATATTCGAAGGTGTTTGACACCAGTATTGTTCAACGGCATAATATAGTTGTATCTGCGATTACAAGTTTCTACTACAACGAGCTTTACGAAAGTGATAATGAGTATTCGTTGGCATTACAAAAGTGACTACGAGTGTTCGTTGATATCACAATAAACAGGATGGTCGATTCAACGCTTTAGCATTCGATGGCAACCAATGTAAGAGATGGAAAACTCTGAATTTCAGATTGAGACGAAGACAACGGAAAACCGCGGCATTTCATTTCATCTGATATCATCGCAATTTAACGACAATATAAAAAACATGGAATCCGTGGAGATACACGGGTGTCAATATTCTGAAAGATTATGGCATTTAAAAAAAAAGCAGGCCACAAAAGAACGATAGAAAAAGAAAGAAAGAAAAAAAATGACGATTGTATAAAAGGAAGAAATTAAACCAATTTGAGTATAGAAAAAGATCCGCGAGAGAAATTAATTTGAAAGTCCAGGAAAATGAGGTGGTTCAGAAAGCAATTTTTTTGGAGAAGGAATGAAAATCTACATTATTAGTCCTGTCTGAGACCCGGGTAGGTTCTCCGAGGATCTGGGTAAGGTCGTAGGCGATGGCGAAGTCTCTGCAATACCTGCATTCAAAATCAGTTTTGTTGGAGTTTACTAGGCGATTTAGGTGGTCATGTTTGGCTATAAGTTGTGAGTAGCCGGAACTGTGAACTCCCTGAATGTGTATGAAGCATTGATACTGGTTTCAGAAAGTAACAGGAGTTCTGGTTTTGATTGGAGAAGACGATGTTCCACTTCTTGAATGTCGGAGCGTAAGACACTTTACAGGAGATGGTATACGAGGAACCTACCTTGTGCTTTTTTAGCTTGGGTCTGATAGTTTTGTTTATTTGTATTTTGATTGGTTTCATGTGAGCATTGGTAGTATTTTTCGTTTTTTTTTTGTTTACGTAATACCTATCCTTCTTTGTTTAGTTTGCCAGCGTAATACGTGTCCTTCTTTGTCTTGTATGTGTACGTAATACTTGACCTTCTTTGTTTTCTATGTGTACGTAATACTTCTCCTTGTTTGTCTTGTATGTGTACGTAATACTTCTCCTTTGTCTTTTTGTTTACGTAATACTTGTCCTTCCACGTAATACATAATTACGACATAATTGTCCTTCTTTGTCTACGTATTACTTGTCCTTATTTGTTCTTTGTTTATGTAATACTTCTTCTTTTTTCTTTGTTTATGTAATACTTGTTCTTCTTTTTTCTTTGTTTATGTAATACTTCTTCTTCTTTGTCCTTCTTTGTCTACATAATACTTGTCCTTGTTTTTCTGATTTTTATACGCGGTAATTGCCCTCAACGTCTCAAGTAGATTATTATTTATGCGTCCCATGTCATTTCAGAGCCTTCGACGAACATGTGTCCCTTACAACCTCCATTACAACGAAATTGTTGTAAATGCACACTCGCACTAGTATCTTTGTATACATATAATGTCGGGAAGGACATGTCCTAATAGGGAATATGCCCATTATCCATTACAAATAACCCTTTATCTGTATATTAGGTTTGTTAGAAGGCAACTGATTTCAAATTTCAAACGTCGTGAATATGACAATAAAGATGAGGGCAACAGTCCGAACAATATAAATGTGAATACCTACCTCTTCGTTTATATGTTACTTGTCTATTCCAAATATTTCAAGGTTACTGTTCACAGTACTGTGAATGGAGCTTAAAGCACTAACGTTAATAGTGATTCTTATATAGTCTATATCCCAGAAAAGTGCCATGTTAGTGGAGATATGGATCTTACCATACTCAAGTTCGCTCCAGATCTCAAGAGGAACTCGTACATACGATGAATCGCTATAAATGCTGGGAAGATGGTCGATAGTTTATGCAACTTCAGAAAGTACCTGACTCCTTGTGCCATACTCTGTCTTTACCAAATTCGGGTTAGGTCAACATCTTGGCTGGAACCTCTTCATGTACATCGATTTTCTTAACCTTTCCTATTTCTTCATTACATTTTTCTTTCGGTCTTTCATTCTAGTTTGAATTTATTTCGAAATTCGAAATTCTTTCTTTCTTTCCATTATTTTAAAAAAATTTTCTTGTTTCAATCTTTTCATTAATTGTTTAATTTCGTTTTTTTTTTCGCAATTCTTCTTTCTTTCATTCTTTAATTTTTCATTTCAATCATTTTCATTCATTTTTCCCTTTCTTTGTTATTTGCATCTGTTTTATTAATTCTCCCTTTTTAATATATTTTTTTCTTTTTCATCCTTTCTGTAGTTTCATTCTCTTTCTTAATTCTTTGTTTGTTTCTTTTTTTCTTTCTTTTCAACTTATTCTTCCTGTAATTGATTATACAATCATGATTTATCGATCGAAAATATATTTTCTTTTACTTCTTTCTTTTTTCTTTCATCTTCTTTCTTTCAGTCTTTAATTTTTCATTTCAATCATTTTCGTTCATTTTTCTCGTTCTTTGTTATTTGCATCTGTTTTATTAATTCTCCCCTTTTTCGTCCCTTTTCTCTTTCTTTCTTCTGTAGTATGAATCTCTTCCTTAATTCCTTCTTTTTTCTTTCTTTCCTTCTTTTCGACTATTTCTCCTCGTAATTCTTTGACTCCCGCCAGATAGTACCTGACACCTTCTGCCATAATCTGTCGTTACAAAAGTTGGATTAGACCAAAAATGAATATTACTGCCATATCCTGGCAAGAAGTTCCATGTCCTCACTTTTCAGCCATGACAGAGTTCAAATACGGTTACGCGGCCTAGATGCGTGATTAATTTCGTTCAAACCAACACCCACTTACCCGCAGACCTAAGCTTACCGATATTCTGTTGCTACTGCCATGGAAAATCTTCCGACGGTACCATTCTTTAACGTCACCAGTTAAGTCTTTTACAGCTAAGATCCGTCTTACAACATACACAGGGTCGAATTACCGCCATTCTTTAAATATTCCTTTGAGAAGAAGGGCGATCCCCCCCCCACCGAAAATTATCTCCGTGACAAACAGACTTCTGCGTAAATGCTTCCCAGGATCCTACAACCTTAAATGGTCCAGGTGTATGTGGTCAATCGGTATCTATCGGTAATCTTCATTCACTGCTTCTTCTTACGTTCATATTCCACAATTCATTCAGTAAAACTCTGCCTTGAGTGGCTCTTGACATTTATATTGTTGAACTTAGTAAAAGAAAGTGTTTTTTTTCTTTCATTTATTCATGCAAACAAAACCAATACTCAGACAGCTTCTTCTCGAGAACGGATCTTTTGTTGAACAGACTCCCAAGGGAATGCTTCCGCGATCACTACAAGCTTAAAAACCTCTTCAAGACTAGGGTCAGCGCTGACCTATCCTACGTATATTCATCATCACTATTTCCACGACTTACGTCCATACAGCACTAACTTGAGTGGCTCTAGGGCCTTGTTTTTAGTGAATGTTTAGTAAAAGAATCATTGTTGCGTTAGAATCTTTTATTATTATTATTATATTTCCTTTGATATCTGCACACGCGCGTGCACACACACACACACACATATATATATATATATATATATATATATATATATATATATATATATATATATATATATATAATATATGTATAAATAAAAGAAAGAATATACATCCCTACCCCTACCTAAACGTAACCACTTTTTCGAACGTAATTAATATCTGATACAACAAAAGTTAATGAAAATGAACACGCAACCACCCCTTCTCTGGATGAATGGATTTTTTCTGTATCCTTGGAAACAGTAAATTATGATTTTTTTGCCGTGCCTTTAAAACCCACTAAATCTTAAAATAAGTTACTCCAAAATTCGCTTGAGGATGAAATGGAACTAATGTTTGTTAATTTAATTGCAAAATAAAATTTGAAGCTTTTAGCTTCCATTTTTGAAACATGGTTATTCCTGTGTAGCGAAAAAAAACATATTTTAAATCAGTTAATTAATAATAATAATAATAATAATAATAATATATATATATATATATATATATATATATATATATATATATATATATATATATAAAGCCCCTTTGTAAGGTGTGGGCTGTACCCGTGAGAACATTTTCTTTTATATTTCTTTTGAACAATTTTTATTATTTTATGATTTTTATTATTATTATTATTATTATTATTATTATTATAAATGTAAATATGTAAGCAAAAACACAGTTATATAAAATGTTATGACCTTTTCCAATCAGGGTCAATAAGTTAAATCACGTGACTGAGCTGTTAAATTCATACCCCACCCCGCCCCAGGCTACTGTGAACACTCACTGTTCCCTTGAGAGTTCATAGTGCCCCAATGCGGGGGTGGGTTACTGTCCATGTTGAGAATCAATGTACTAAATTATTCTTATTTTTACGAGGTTGCAGTAATGAGACATCCAGTGAGAATTCAATTCTCTGAAGTAGGAATGGTTTACTTAGGGACTGCAGTAGCTGTCACCCACCCACCCCATCGATATATAATTAACAATGGGAAAAAGTACAAGAAGTTGAAATTCCTAACTTGATTGATTACCTCTTAATAAATTCTGGATAAGACTAAGGACTCAGAAACGTCCCTAGCCACGGCCCGGTGGCACCAGGATGTTTGTTTGTATTGCTTTTACACCCCAACCCACATATTCTCTTTAACCACAACACTTCCCCAACCACTAACCTTCATTAAACAAAACTTTGTTCAATATCTTTTTCTTCTTCTGTTAGTTCAGATCCTTGGCGATCACAACTCTCCACTACTTCCTATTCTTTCTAGCTTTTAGTAAAATGTGTCTTTTCGCTATCTCTCCAAATCTAAGTTTTGCCAACCATTTACACAATCTCGTTTGGTAAGTTATGAGCCGCTTTCCTTTGTCCTTCTTGCTTTCAATCTGTCCTCTGAGAATCAATTTTTCCAAGCCTTCTTTCCTCATAATGTATCCTAGAAATTCTAACCATTTCTTCTTGATGTTAAGTATAAGTCTCCTTTTTGTTTCCATGTTCCTAAAACTTCATCTAAAACTTCGGTAATCTCATCATCCTTCTGTAGAACCACATGCTTTTGCCTCAATTCTTTCCTTCATCTGTGAGGAGATTTTTCCAGCATTCTTTATCATATAGCGGGGCCGATATTACAGAACAGTTCAGTACCCTTTTTCTTTGTTAATAACGAAATTTTCATGCTTCTTAATACTTTGCTTTTCTTTTAGAAGGCATCTTTCGCAATCTCAATGCGCCTTCGGATTTCGGCGTCACATTTTCCTTTCTCGAAACACTTCCTAGATATTTTGGTACTTGCTTGGTTTAGGTATTTCCAATTCATAGTTCGTATCTAGGTCTGTTCCTATTGCTAGCAAACATGAATTCTGTCTTCTTACTAACGCCTGTGCATACTATCCCCGAACATGCCCGACCGGAAGGGGTTCGTTATTAGCTCCAGGCAGTGCTGTTTAAACTTTCTTCTTCTTCTGGCCTGGGCGATCATGGTTCTCCACTACTTCTATCCCCTTGTGGCTCTTGGCAGTATTTATTGTTTTACTATCTCTCTTAATCATTTGCACAAGCTCGTTATGTTACTTACTGCTTTCTTCTGTTCCTCTTGCCGTCAACATGTCTTGTGAGTGTTAAATTTTCCAACCCTTCTTTCCTCATTATATGCCCTAGAAATTTCGAGTGACAGAACCAATTTCAACAAGATTTAAAATCAAAGTTATCGATTTCCGTGAATTCTTAAACAAAATGCAATGAGTTGGTGTTAATTTTTTAATTTAGCATTAAAAATCCTTAGTAGATAAGATAATTTAGAATTCATCTTTTCTGCAACTTTCATTAATTAGTTGCGAGTTGAAATTAGTTCCGAGTTGAAATTAATTCTGCACCTCGAAAATTCATTTGTCTCTGTCTGATTCGAAGTATAAGTGACTTGTTTGCTTCCATTTTCTCTAAAACTTCGCCGTTATTCATATGTTCACTCCACGGTATTCTCAACATCCTTCTGTAGAAAAATGTATCTGCTGCCTCTTCTTCATCTGTGAGGAGATTGTCCAGCATTCCCTGCCATATAGGAGAACTGATATTAAATAACATTTCAGTACGCTTTTCTTTTGTTTCTAATGAAGTTTTCCCGTTTCTTAATACTTCAGTTTGCTTTAGGAAGGCACCTTTTGCTATCCCAATGCGCCTTCGGATTTCGGTGACGCACTTTCCGTCCTCTGTTGAAACACTTCTCCAATTTCTAATTCTCATTTTGTTTATTTCCAGATAAACTGACACCTGACTGAACAAAGAAGATTTCAAATAAAACTAGTAGAGACTTCTCTTGAAAATAGACGAAATTTGGCATCATCGTGTTATTAAATACCTGCAGAAAAAAGGGTTTAGCACCCCAAGGAAATTCATGCTGATAGGATTGCTATAGTTTTACTATCCATCCGTTCTCCTCGATGGCTAGGTTACCCACAGTTTCCATTTTGCTAATCTTACCTTCAATATGCCTTGGGAGTGTTAAATTCTCCAAGCTATCATCCTTATTAGAGAGCTCAGTGAAAATCTCAATCTCTATAGTACTAATGATCTAATAAGATTGCTCATTAACGCCTCTGTTTGTTTCCCAGTAGAGTAATTATGCGGTTTTTATATATGTAATGTCATCAACTCTTCTCTAGTGGAATTTTAGCAACCTCCTGGTTCCTCGTACTATTGATCAACCTCGTGTCTTCTTAATAGTACCATTCATCAACCTGGTGTGTACCTCATCCAACGTGGTGGATGCGTTGAGAAGCGTCTTGGAGTGCTGTGCTAAAACGGGATACAACTCATCTCCTCTGGACGTCATTTTCTTCAGACTTTTCTTTCGACAGCTGTTCTCATTGGATCAAAATTGCAATCTCCAGAATAAAACTGAAATGATTGTCAAAAGGTGAGTTAATCGCAGAAGACTTAAACGTTAGAATCGATGGCCATTGTTTTCGTTTCAATGGCTTTCTTTCTTTCTTTTAATTCTTTTTGTTTTCGTTCCTTTTTCTATTTTCTTTGCTTTTTGGTCTTTGTCCCTCCATTCGATTGTCTTTTCTTTTTCTTCCAATTCAGTTTACCGTTTCTTTTTCAGTTGCTTTCTTTCTTTCAGTCCCATGTATTTTCTTTTCTTTCAATTCTATTTGCTTGCTTTCTGCCTTTCTTTTTATCTAATTTCTCTTTTCCTTCACTACTATTTTCTTTCTTTCTTTTTGTCTTTCTTTCTTTCTTTCTTTCTTTCTTTCTTTCTTTATTTATTTATTTCTTTAAAGCCTTCCTTTCTTTCTTTCTTTCTTTTTGTTTTCGTTCTTTTTTCTGTTCTCTTTGCTTTTTTCTTTTTACATTTTGTCTTTGCGTTCTATTTTATTTCTTTTTTCTTCCAATTCAGTTTACTTTTTCTTTTTTAATTGCTTTCTTTCTCTCAGTTTCATGTATTTTTTTTTCTTTCAATTCTATTTGCTTGCTTTTTTCCCTTTCCTTTTATTCAATTTATCTTTTCATTCACTACTATTTTCTTTCTTTTTGTCTTCCTTCCTTTCTTTTTCTTTCCTTTCTTTCTTTCTTTCTTTCAGAAATCTCGTTACTTTCTTTTATATTTCAGTTTTATTTGCTTCTTTCTTTTAATTGTTTCTGCTTCTTTTAATGTTTAATGATTCATTTCACTTCGATTTTTTCTTTTTCTCTTGATTTCTTTCATTTGTGGTCACCTTTCTTTCTTTCCTTCACTTTTATTTGCTTCCTATCATATCTGGTCTTTTTTTTTCTTTCTTTCTTTCTTTCTTTCTTTCTTTCTTTCTTTCTTTCTATTCTTTCTTTCTTTCTTTCTTTCTTTCTATTCTTTCTTTCTTTCTATTCTTTCTTTCTTTCTATTCTTTCTATTCTTTCTTTCTTTCTTTCTTTCTATTCTTTCTTTCTTTCTATTCTTTCTTTCTTTCTATTCTTTCTATTCTTTCTTTCTTTCTTTTCTATCATATCTGGTCTTCTTTTTTTTTTTTCTTTTTCTTTCTTTCTTTCTTTCTTTCTATTCTTTCTTTCTTTCTATTCTTTCTATTCTTTCTTTCTTTCTTTCTTTCTATTCTTTCTTTCTTTCTATTCTTTCTATTCTTTCTTTCTTTCTTTCTATCATATCTGGTCTTCTTTTATTTTTTCTTTCTTTTCCTTTCTTTCTTTCTTTCTTCCTATTCTTTCTTTCTTTCTTTCTTTCTATTCTTTCTTTCTTTCTATTCTTTCTTTCTTTCTTTCTATTCTTTCTATTCTTTCTTTCTTTCTTTCTATCATATCTGGTCTTCTTTTTTTTCTTTCTTTCTTTCTTTTCCTTTCTTTCTTTCTTTCTTTCTATTCTTTCTTTCTTTCTTTCTTTCTTTCTATCATATCTGGTCTTCTTTTTTTCTTTCTTTCTTTCTTTTCCTTTCTTTCTTTCTTTCTTTCTTTCTTTCTATTCTTTCTTTCTTTCTTTCTATTCTTTCTTTCTTTCTATTCTTTCTTTCTTTCTACTTTCTATTCTTTCTTTCTTTCTTTCTATCATATCTGGTCTTCTTTTTTTCTTTCTTTCTTTCTTTTCCTTTCTTTCTTTCTTTCTACCTTTCTATTCTTTCTTTCTTTCTTTCTTTCTTTCTATTCTTTCTTTCTTTCTTTCTTTCTATCATATCTGGTCTTCTTTTTTTCTTTCTTTCTTTCTTTTCCTTTCTTTCTTTCTTTCTTTCTTTCTTTCTTTCTATTCTTTCTTTCTTTCTATTCTTTCTATTCTTTCTTTATTTCTTTCTTTCTTTCTTTCTTCCAAGAGTCTCGTTACTTTCTTTTATATTTCAGTTTTATTTACTTCTTTCTTTTAATTGTTTCTTTTTCCTTTAATATCCGGTCCCCTTCCCTCTTTTTCTTACTTTCTTTTTCACTTACATTTTTTCATTCTTTAGTTTCTTCCAACTCTGATTATTATTATTCATTTATTTGAATTTTTTTACGTTCTTTTTTCTTTTCTTTTTTTTTTTAAATCTATTGTTTTCTTTACTTTCATTTCTCATTATCATCTTTCCTTTCTTTCTTTGTATTTTTCGTTCTTTCTTTCTTTTCATACAATTTCTTGCTTTCTTCCATATATGCTTGTATTTTTGATTAGTTTCATTCGTTCCCTCGTCGTTTCATTCATTCAGTTACATTTACTTTTTTTTTTCTTTCAGCTATATTTAATTTTTTTTCAACTACATTTTTCTCTCTTTGCAATTTCAGCTGCTTTTCTCTCTTTATTTTGCTTTTATTTACTTCAGCATTTATTTGTTTTCTTTCATTTCTGGTTGCCTTTCTTTCTTTTTTCATTTATTTTCTCTTTGTTTTTTTTCCCTTTCATTTTTATTTTTTATTTGCCATTTCTATTCTTTTTTCATTTCAGTTTGCTTTTTTTTTTTCAATTCTATTTTTCTCGTTGCCTCTCTTTTTTTCCCTTTCTCTCACTTTTATTTTATTTATTTGTTTATTCATGTATCTATTCGTCTTCATTCATTTCCAGTTTGCTTTCTTTCTTTTTCAATTCTATTTTTCTCGTTGCTTCTCTTTTTTTCCCTTTCTCTCACTTTTATTTTATTTATTTGTTTATTCATGTATCTATTCGTCTTCATTCATTTCCAGTTTGCTTTCTTTCTTTTTCAATTCTATTTTTCTCGTTGCCTCTCTTTTTTTTCCTTTCTTTCACTTTGATTTTCCTTTTGTTTCTTTTGCTTTCTTTCATCTATCGTCGCCTTTCCTTTCTTTCTTTTTTCTCTCTTTCATTTTTATTTTATTTTATTTTATTTATTTATGCATTTATTTGCTTTCTATCGTGTATTGTTTTCTTTCTTTCCTTCTTCCTCCTCTTTTTTTCTTTCTATTTTTCTCTTAATATCTTTTGTTTTCTTTTTCCAATATCGCACACGTTTGTCTATCAATTTCTCTCATTCCCTCTCATACTTTTTCTTTCATTCACTCGTTGTTACTAGATCTATTTTTGTACCTGCCACATTGTCCGCACTTTGTTCTTTCTTTGTATAGAAGTCATTCTTCTCTGTCTCTTTCTCTCTCCCACCCTCTCTCTCTCTCTTTCTCTCTCACTCTCCCTGCTTCACTCATTTTTATTACACCCCTCTCTCTCTTTCCTTCTTGGTCCATTTTTGTCCCTTTCACATTTACCTTTGATTTTCCCTATCTTTGTTCTTCCTTCTCGTGAAATGGATTTTTCTTTCTTCCCCTCTCTCTCTCTCTCTCTCTCTCTCACACACACACACACACACACATTTTCTCTCTATCATTTTTGTAGTGCCACTTTGCCCTCACCTTGTTCTTTCTTTTCATAGAATTCATACTTCTCTCTCTCCCCCTCCCTCACTCACTCACTTTCGCTTTCTCTCTCTTTGCTCCTACCTCTATTTATTTTTGTCTTTGCTAAATTTCCCTCTTTCTTCTCCCTTCTCGTCAAATGGATTCTTTTTTTTCTTTGTCTATTTGTTTACTTGCATTTCTGGTTGCCTTTCAATTCTATTTTTCTCGTTGCCTCTCTTTTTTTTTTCCTTTCTCTCACTTTTATTTTATTTATTTGTTTATCTATGCTTCTATTCGCTTTCATTCATTTACTTTCTTTATTTCACTTCGATTTTTTTTCTTTTTCTCTTTTGCTTTCTTTCATTTGTGGTCACTTTTCTTTCTTTCTTTCTTTCTTTCTTTCTTTCTTTCTTTCTTTCTTTCTTTCTTTCCACCATTCAGTCTTCCTTTTTTTCTGCTTCCTTTAATGTTTAATATTTTATTTCACTTCGATTTTTTCTTTTTCTCATTTGCTTTCTTTCATTTGTGGTCACTTTTCTTTCTTTCTTTCTTTTTTTTTCTTTCTTTCTTTTTTCTTTCTTTCTTTCTTTCTTTTTTTCTTTCTTTCTTTCACTTTTATTTCCCTCTATCATATCTGGTTTCCTTTTTTTCATTCTTTATTATTTCTTTCCCTTTATATCTCTTGTCTTTTTTCTCGTTTTTTTTCTTTCTTTCTTTAACTCTTATTTATTTATCTATTTAATTGCTTTCGTTCGTCTCTGCTTTTCTTTCTCTCTCACTCTCTCTCCCCTCACCCTCTCACTTTCTTTCTTCATTCTTTCTCCCTTTCTTTTACCGATACAAATACCCTCGTCCATAACAAGTTACCACTCAACCGCCCTTTCCCCAACTGCTTCGCCTCCCTTTTCTTCATATTAGAATGATCGCTTCTTCCGTCTCCATCTTCCAAATTGTCTCCCAATATTGTCGATGTTCCTTCAGCTCCCCGCTTTTGTGTCGAACAGTTCAAGCGGGGCCACATATGTTAAAGCTAATGTCAACAACTCCCAAGAGCTCCGAGAAAAACCCTCACCTGCACTAAGTGAGCCTGGTAATCAGGCCTCGCAATCAAACTTTCTGCCCGTCATTAAATGGCACTCATTACCCGTGGTCAGTCATTCACATTGACAAACACACGGACTCTAGATAGAAACAGCCATATATAGAGGTCACTTTTATATTGTGCAAGTAGGCATGAAACCATTTAAGTAAACATTCTGGAGACCCGTTCAGAGCCAAGATTGAATAGATACTGATTATTAGACTAGTCGGTGGTGTAGTGGATAGCGGCTCGGATTTAGAGCCGAGTTCGAATTCCAGTCGAATTCATTGCATTCACTTACGTGATAATACCCTTCAGAAAGGTGTCAATCCTCTTCTTCTCCTCTCTCCGGCTATGGATAAAATTGTAGGACAGACAGGATTCTATAGCCTTGGATAGCAACTAGTCTAGGAGATGGACAACTCTGAATTCAGAACCTGCGGAGGGTTGTTTGGGCAACTTGGCCCTTCAATCTTTCTTCCTTTCTTTATTTCTTTCTTCAAAAAGTGTATTCGGTCCTTGAAAAAGTGTGGTTGGCCCTTGAAAATGTGTTGGTTCTGCACAAAGCCTTCACCACTATAACCAAATCATATGTGCTTGTTTCCTAGAAACTCAGCTGCTTGTCACTCATACGTCGAATACGACGCAAGTGTTCACCATACATTGGATGCTCCACATTTGTAGCTTTGTGTCAGACTAAACTACTTTTAGTACATTAATAACGTTACTATGGTGCATAGCATAACCTTATCTGCCTGTCATCATCTTGAAGCAGGATAGCAAGTGTCTACCGCCTCAACTTTTCCACTGACATGAAGTGGAGCGACTATGTAGAATTATTTGCTACATCCACTGCAAGGAACGTTGATTCACTCTGTCGTGCCAGAAGTTCTTTTGCTCGTCAGAATCCATCTTGCACATTTATAAATCTACCATCCGTCCATCTATTGAATAGTGCTGCCTTATCTCATCTGCAGCTCTTGCTGTACAAAAATGACATAATCCAATAAAGGGTCTGTAATGTAATTGATCTTGATGAGGCATCTAGTCTCCAGTCACTTTCTCACCAACGTGACAATGACTTTTCTAGAAATAATTTCAGGGCAACTGCTCTGATGAGCTTTTTAGTCTGGTGCCCCGATTATACGAATTTAAGCGTGCTACTAGATTGGTAATGATGTCTTGATACAACCACCATTTCTACTCTAACAGTTTCTTTTCTCGCACTTATCACCTGCGGAATTTCCTTCCGATTTCATGTTTCCCTGAAAACTACAATCTTTAAACATGTGAATACAACATCAATTGCCATCTTCTGTATTCTTGAACACTTTTCCTTTTTTTCTTCTTATTCTCTTTCAGTTCGCCCCCTTTAATCACCCGCGTTTTAGGGTCATCATGGAGAAAAATTATACATTTTGACATTACTCACGGATCTCGCCGATGTGACCTCTATCTTCTGGCTTTCTCCTTCTATCTTTTGGATAGAAGCCATTTCTGTGTTCAATTTTAAATTTAATTTAAATCATAGGGAGAAAAAATCAGTGGGAGGTTTCTGGTCCCCGAAGTCCTCCTTTGATCAGAATGAATTATACTTATCCAAGTACCTTAGGAGTAATTCCCTTGTTCAAATTTATATTTAATTTATATTAAAGATTAAAAAAAATACATTATTTACATTATTTTACTATTGTCCTTATCTTGGTCGCCATATTTATCACAACGTTTCGGCCGTTGTACGCTCCGGCTTTCTTCAGGTGGTTGGAATTTCGAACTGAACCTTTTATTTCGCTCATTGGGGTAGACGTGCCATTTTTGATGGATGTCAGTTATCAGTTATCTCCTGCTAATTTCCCTCTGAAAGTTCTCCACGCCTTTATCCACTGTGCCATGTGTCCGACACATGGCACAGTGGATAAAGGCGTTGGTTAGATCCAGTGACAGGACCCAAAGAGTGTGAGTTCAATACCCGGTTAAGGCAGTGGAGAACTTTCAGATGGAAATTAGGAGGAGATAACTGATAACTGACATCCATCAATCATGGCACGTGGAACTAGAACAGTCTAGAATAATGTAAATAATGTACATAATACCTCATCTCAGAAATATAGACAGACTCAAAAAAAAAATTAGTTGGGTGGGGGTGCCCTCTTGGCTAACACCTATGATAAAAATGAAATGTATACCCTGGGTAATGTAGTTTCAGAATATATATGGTTATGTGGGTCTATGTCTAAAACCATAGAAATTCGATAACAAACAGACGGACAGAGGCTATATCTTTAAATATATATAGAGAGATATGTCTGGCTTTTGGTAATTTTTTTAAAATCATTTCACTCAAAGTAAGGCGATAAAGTCACTTGGACGTAAGGAACAACTGAGAGTATTAAAAGAGAGAGAGGAAGATTGATATTGCATTTAATAATTAATAGGAGTAGATAGGTTCGCCTATCGTCCGGTTCACACTCCTCTCTGGTCTTTTGAACAGTAATAGAGCTTTATCCATTGTTTCCTGTTTAGGATTAGGTTTCCAGTTTCATCTAAAATCTTTTCAGTCTCTTTCGCTCTCAGTAGCCCCCTTGTGTCTTAGTGGTATTACCGTATTGTTTGGGGTGAATTGATAAAAAAAAGTATATACACTTATTAAAATAATAAGAAAGAGCAGTAAGATTTATAATCCGGCGTTCTTAGCAGTTATTTTTATTGAGAAACAAAAAAAGTGCCCAATACAAACAGTAGAGCAAAATATTATAATTATTTCCTATTTAAAAATATGATTCCATCGCGACAGAGAAAATGTCCATGTTTCAAAACTGAAACTAAATTTATAAATTTAATTCTAAAAATTAAATCTAAAATCCATAGTCTCGTTCCGACTTTTAGCTTGACGTGCCTTTACTGATTTGGCCACGAAGGAGCGTTCAGTTAGATTACAGTAAATTCGACCTTGCTAACCGGTAAAGGCATGTCAAGCTAAATGAAGGTTCTGTATAGGATACAGGTTCGAATCCTGTCGGAGGACGAATATTTTCTGTGAAAATTTCTCGGACATTCAGGCCGGTAAATGTTGTTTAATACTGTTTATTATAAACAGAGCATTTACTTAAATATTTGTATCTATAAAAAGAATCTATAAACATAAAAATGTCTTAAAATAGTATTGTATGTGTATACATATTTATTTAAACCATATATTATCATTTATATATCTATATACTATTTATATTTTTATTAAAGGCAGAGAGGTAAAAATAAATACGCTATCAAATACAAAACATACATTTATTTTAGCGATAAAGACTTCATATATCTTCTAGGAATGACACGAATAGATAATTGGTAATTTTTTCTCATGATCTCCCAGTGAGACAGATATAAATAACCATGTTAGACCACACCTGACTTGATTCATGACCTCACCTCACCTGATGGCCACGTGAGGGGAGGGGCCCGGTAAAACTCCACGCTCCACCCGGGTAGACGACATATTCAGGCAGACCTTACGCTATAACAACACCCGACTTTTTCTTCTTCTTTTTTAATCATTTACTCCAAGCAAGGCAATAAAGCCACTAGGACGCAAGGGGTTTCTGAGTGTTAGAGATTCTGAGAATAACTACCATTAAGGAGAGAGGACAATAAAAGACTAAGAATTAAGAAGATGACGATTGGCATTGCATTTGAATTTTTGAAAATTAACCCTTTGAATACTGACCACCGCTTTACCGGTGGTAGAGAAAAATGACGTAATGCTTAACCACTGGTTGAACAGTGGTAGAGAAAAATGGTTTGATGCCCAGTCACTGGTTGAACGGTGGGTAAACACAGTTAACTATTTTTTTTATATCTACTGTGAAACATTGCATACCAATTATTTACGAATTTTGAATCAGGAGCTCAGACAGAAGGTTTAAAATTGTTCAGGAACGCCGGCTTCAAAGGGTTAAAAGACAGAGAAGATAGTGGCCTGCTTTAGGATCTTAAATAGTTGTTTATTCTTCAGTGCTGCCTGAAGTTAGGATTCGAACAGCATCGCTACTTTAGCCTTATTTCCTCCAGAAAGGTTCGAACGAGCTACGTTACTTAGTTGCACCAGTTCAGACCTTCCCATCTAAGATGCATTCTACAGTCGAACAGATCATCCACATTCCATTTATAGTCCATTAATCCTTTGACCCCTGGCCACCGCTTTACCGGTGGTAGAGAAAAATAACGCGTTTACCAGCCACCAGTTGAACAGTCGTAGAGAAAAAAATGACTTAATGACCAGCTACCGGTTGAACGGTGGGTAAACACTTGTAACTATTTTTATATCTACTGTGAAACATTGCATATAAATTATTTGCGAATTTTGACTCAGGAGCTCAGGCGGAAGGGTTAAAATTGTTCAGGAACGCCGGCTTCAAAGGGTTAAATTGACGGCGAAGCAAGAAATCGGAAAAGAGTTACACAAGCGAGAAGTGCGATAAAAGAAATTGTTATCAAAGAACATACTTCTCGCCTTAACATAGGACTACTACTTTGAATGCAAAACCATGGAGAAGGGAAACCATTAATTTCCCCAATGAATCATTGCAATTCAAAGATAACAATGAAAATGTTTCTGTGTAAAGCCATAGTCATAGATCGCCTACATCATAACAGGATTAGTATTTAACATATCTATTTCAAATGCCTATTGCATTCCTTTTTTGTATTGTCATTAGGAACTAAATTAATAAGTAGGGTAGACTTGGTTATCTAGCTTTGGTTGGCAATGTGTCTAGAAGGATTACTCTTAATTAAAAATTGTTAATAGGCTCCTCTAGAAGACTTTGTCTATTCATTGAATTTGCTTGTCAAGGAGGATCTATTTGTGGCCTTGTTCCAAGGAATATAGTAAGCATTGAAAATATTGCAGAATTTACAAGAACATTAATATATTGTTTATATGTCGGAGAATCTATGTCTTCCCTGGGCACCTTGCGACAGGCTTCATGAATTTTCAACTACTTCTCCGGACGAAATAATCTTAAGGATTTCGAAGATTTTCAAATTGAACATTGATTTGTTGACTAGTTTATTTTTATTTTAACTTTTACTTGGTTACTTACACCAAGTATTAGTAGATGCAATAGTCTGAATTTCTTAAACATTGTCATTGTTATTAATCTTTATTGGTTCATTTTTTTATATTTTAGTTGATTCTTTATGCCTATTAGTAATCGATGTTGTAGCCTAATTTCTTAGATGAATCAGTATTATTTTTGCACTAGTTTATTGTTTAGTCGTTTGCGTAAACCATGTAGTGGGCGATGCACTAGTCATAATTTTTCAAATGAAATCATTGTTATTAATTTTCGAGTAGTTTAGGTTTTATTTTATTTTTCCTTACTTCTTTACACCTAGTAGTATTCGATGTAATAGTCGGAATTTATTTGATAAAACATTATTATTATTAGAAAATGTTGACTAATTTATTATATATCTTATTTTTGTGACTACCTTACACCTAGTAGTAGTCGATGTAATAGTCGGAATTTCTATTTGAAACCTTGGCATTATTAACTTACATCAAGTTTATCTAACATCATATTTTTTTCACCGCAAAAATCGTTTTTTAGATTCTACGACCGTTAATTAAGCGGCGCAGATCGTAAATAAAGAATTACGCGAGGTTTAAATTTGTACCCTGTATTTTAGGGAGTCAGGCCGAAACCTACTTTTACTGATTAGGTTACAAAACTCAAACAGACGTCATTCAGACATAGATAATTTCGTTATTAATTATAGGCTTATAAAAACGCTCCTATGAATTATAGGTTTCTAAAAATCCGTTAATAATTATCCCCTTCGTATTCCACTGGTGAGATGTAAGTTCTATTCGAGCAGCTTCTTTCCACGAATAGCTGCTTTGTGGAACCGACTCCCAAGTGGATGCTTCTCCTAGCACTAGAATATAAACCTGTTCAAGTCTAGACTTAACCGTTGTCTTCCCCACATATCCTCATAAACTATGCCTCTTACTCAGTAACCCTCTACTTCGACTGGCTCTCAGGACTTGTACAGGATCAACATCATTGTAAAACAAGATGCAATAGTGAATATTAAAGCGTTAAACTCTGCGATGAAACTTTATTATTATTACTTTTTGAGCTTATCTTATTTTTGTTGCTTTTTATCACGTTTCTGACGATTGTTCTTAGACTCTTGAAAAAAAAAGTCCGAAGAAGTATCTGCATTGTTACTTGTCTTGACCTGGCATCTCGGCTTCAGTCAATTTCCACACAGGAGTAATGTTGCTTCACTGTGCCTCTTCTATAAATACTTCCATGATAACTGTTCCGACAAACTTTCGTCAATGGTACCTAGACTATGAATTTAAACGCAGTACTAGATTGGCGGTTAGGTCACATCGATTTACGGTTGAAATCACTAGATGTAACCGTAAGTTCTATGCTAGAAAGTTTCTTCTCCCGCACTTGTCGTTGTGTAGAACTCTCTTCCGGCTTCTTACTTGCCAATCAAGTTTGATCTTCAAAAATTTAAAGGCAATTCAAACGTTATCTTTTGTATGTTTAATTCTTGTTCTTTTATTGTTCGCTCTCCTTAATAGTGTTTTCTCATATTCTCTCACAATCAGAACATCCTTGCGTCTTAGTGGGTTTATTGCCTTGCTTGGGGTAAAGTGATTTTAAAAAATAAAAAATTGTGTGACCGTTACAAAAGCAGCATTTAATGAATGATATAATAATTCCTTCATGGGTGATGGAAACCTCTAAGATAACGACTCGTTGCGCCTTCTCTGGCTAACATTCTCGGCCGACATAAAGTGGAAAGACTATATTGAATCCGTTGCTAGGTCACCTGCTAAGAAATTTCGTCCATTGTGTTGTGTTAGATAATTTTTCTCTCCAGAATCTATCTTGTTTATAAGTCTCGCATTCGTCCATGCTTGCAATATTGCTGACACATATGGTGTGGTGCTCCTGGTAGATATTTAGTGATTCTTGATAAAATCCAAAGAAGAACCAAGTACATTATTGGTCTTGACTTGGTATCTCAAGTTCGGTAACATTCCCACTGTCATAAAGTTGCTTCCCCCTGTCTTTTCTATAAATACTTTCATAGTAAATGTTTGGATGACATGCTCACTATGGACTTTATAAATTTAAGCCTAGTACTAGATTGGCAACAAATTTAGAGTTGCATTGGTTAAATGTAACCGTAAGTTCTATGCTAACAGTTTCTTCCCTCGTACTTCTCGCTTGCGGAAGTCTCATCCGACTACATGCTTTCCAGTTAACTTTCATCTTCAAAAATTTAAATTTATATCTACTGTCTTCCCGATTACTCTTCTGTTCTTCCTGTTTCTTAGTAATGTTTCTGTTTCTAATTCTTTCACACGCAGTAACCTCTTGCGTCTTAGTGGCTTTACTGGGTAAACTCGATTTAAAAAAAAACAAAAAAACAAGTTCAGTACCAGAACAGATAATTTTTTTTATTTCTAAAACGATCTATTTGTTCATTTAATCAGATTTGAGGAAGTGGTTCGTGCCGAGAAATTTTCAGCACCCTGTCCTACTATTTGTTTTTGTTTTTTTTACAGACTCGTCCAAAGGACTGTTTTCTTTTTCTATTTTTTTTTATTTTATTTTATTTTATTTTTTTTTGTCAAGTCAGTCAATCTACCTTGACAAACAAAGAACCCGCATTAGAACAAGGCAAAACACGACTTAGAAAGTCATTTCGCTTCAGTCGATAAAGAAATACATCGATATTCTTATGCTGTTCTTTTTCTTGACGAATCGTTGAGAAACTTTCTGGAAGAATAAGCTCAAAGAAATTACGCTTCCGTATCTACAATGGCGCTGAAGTAAGTTTAGCTTTGGAAGTTCAAACAAAATCATTAAATATTATCCCTTGGAAATTCCGGCGAGATTTTAAAGTCTATTAAGGGACACAAGCTGTATAATAATTTTATAATTTTTGTTTTGTAGTCTACTTTTAGATACGAGACAGTCGTTTTTGGTAACGATCGTAATTGTTCGTGGTAAGAAATTTAATAAAAGGGACTATTTTTATATCTCCTTTTTTCCCCTTGGGCAGTTTTATTTAGTTGCAAATTTCATTTTTTTTCTTTCTTTTTTTGTTGCGTTTTTAAGTTCATTTTTTTTTCTTTTTTGTTTCGTTTTTAATTTCATTTATTTTCTTAATCCTACCTTTTTCTTTGTTTTCTTTTTTTTTCTTTCTTTTCGATTTTTTACTCTTTCTATTTAAATCTCATTATCTTTCTCTCTTCGTCCTTTTCTTTGTGTTTTTCTTTCATCGTTTTGTCAATTATGCTTTCATTCGTTAATTTTTCATTTCAAGCTTGTTATTTCATTTTTTCTCCTTTATTTGCGTCTATTTCTTTTCATTATTCCTTGTTTTTTTTTTTTTCTCTTACATTCTTTCTTTCTTTCGTTCATTAATTCTTTCTTTCGTTTCCATTTTTTTACTCATTTCTAATTTTCTTTCACTTGTTTTCCTAATTCTTTCAGCTTTTCTTTATCAATTCTTCTTTTTGTCATTTTTATTTCTCATTTCAATCTTTTTTTTCTTCCCTTTTCTTCTTCATTTGCATCAATTTTATTCATGCTTCCCTTTTCTACATTACTGTTCTCTCTCTATTCATTCTCTTTTTAGCTTCAAATTTTATCTAAATTCTTTTTTTCTAATATTTAATCATTTTTTTCTTTCTTTAATTCTTTCACCTCATCTTTTTTCTCAATTCTTCTTTCGTTTATGCTTTCATTTTTCCTTTCAATCTTTTTCGGTCATTTTTCTTTCTTTGTTATTTGCATCTATTTTGTTAATTCTTGCTTTTTCGAACTTTTTTCATTTTTTCTGTAGTTTCAATTCGTTCTTTAATTGTTTTTTTTTCTTTCTTTCTTTCTTTCTTTCTTTCTTTCTTTTCGACTTCTTCTTCATACAACTATAAATTATTGATCTGAAATATAGATTACCTTCCTTCATTCCTTTCTTTCTTTCTATCCATTATTTAAACACTTTTTCTTTTATTCCACTCTTTTCATAAATTCTTTCATCTCATCATTTTTCTCGATTCCTCTTGTTTTTTCATTTTTTACTTTTGTTAATTTCCATTTTCATCCTTTTCGTTCATTTTTCTCTTTCTTTGCTATTTGCATCTATTTTGCTAATTCGTCATTTTTTCGTACTTTTTTCCTTCTTTAATTCCTTCTGTAGTTTCAATTTCATCCTTAATTCTTTCTTTCTTTCTTTTTTCTTTCTTTCTTTTTTTCTTTCTTTCTTTCTTTCTTTTTCTTTTCAACTTTTTTCCCGGTAATTTTTCATGCAGCCATAAATTATTATTATCTGAAATATACTTTTCTTACCTTTCTTTCTTTCCTTCTTTCTTTTTCTTTCTTTCTTTATTTATTTATTTATTTATTTATTTATTTTATTTAAGCACTTTTTTCTTTTATTTTAATCTTTTCATAAATTCTTTCATCACATCTTTTTCTCGGTTCTTCTATATTTCATTCTTTCATTTTTCATTTCAATCTTTTTTGTTCCTTTTTTTCCCTTTCTTCATTATTTGCAACAATTTCATTAATTCTCCCTTTTTCGTCCTTTTTTTCATTTTTTTCAGTAATTTCCATCTACTCCTGAATTCTTTCTTATTATTTTTTTCTTTTTCTTCCTTTTTTCTTTCTTTTCTTTAGTTTCTTTTTATCTTAGTCTTCCCGTAATTCTTCATGCAACTATACATTATTGATCTGGAATAGACTTTTCCTGTCTTTTGATTCATTCATACTGTCAATCATTGGTCCTTCCTTCCTTCCTTCTTTCCTTTCTTTTTATTACATTTTATCTTCTGTTGTTTTTTTGTTTGTTTGTTTTTTTGTATAATCCCTTTTTCTCCTCTCTTCTCAGTCTCTCTCTTCCCTTCAATCGAGGTTCCCTTTCTCCTGAGGAAGCGCCTCTATTCTTGTCCAAGGTAAAAGCCAGCTGTTGTCTCACGTGACAGCCGGACACGAGAACAATGACTCAGTTAAACAGACCGTAGATAAGATGACAGCGGACAGCTGAAGTTCCAACTCATAATATCAATATTTACGAAGGTTAAATTAGTGCGTCACCGGGGCAAGTGGACTTAAAGGGATGGAAGAAGATTGTACTGCGCCAATATTCCAAGTGAAGGAGAGTATACACACCGCATTCATTTCTTTAAAATTGCTGTTAAGCACTGACTACTGGCAACAGAACAAGCGTTCTCAAGCAGTGGGGAATCTTACTTGCCTCACCCCTACGCCCCAGGTGGAAGAAGTGGCGGGAAAAAGGCTGTACATCCACTGGTTTCATTTGTGTCGACATATCTTTGTGAGTCAAGATTTTCAACTTTGGGCAAATATAAATAAAACAATGAAGTAGATAGGAAGTCAAAAACGACCGGTGTTTTAACATTTCGAGCACTCCTCCTCCTTCCATGTGCTGTGTTCCTTCAGGACGTCGGCGATCATGGCCCTCCACATCTTCTGGTCCCTTGTAACTCTTTGTTTTGTCTTTTTGTTATTTGTCCCAAACCATGTTCCGCAAACCCTCTGCTCAAGCCCATCAAGTATTTTACGCGCTGCTTTCCACTGTCCCTCTTTCCCTCTATCCGCCCTGCGAGTATCAGATTTTTCAAGCCATCTTTCCTCATTACGTAACCCATAAATTTCACCTGATGTTAAGTATGTTTCCTTTTTGTTTCCATTCTCTCCAAAAACTCGTCGTTGCTCAGATGTTTGGCCCATGGTATCCTTAGCATCCTTATGCAAAACCACGTTTCGGTTGCTTCAGATCACTTCTTCATCTTTGAGGAGATTGTCCAGCATTTGCTACTATACAGAAGGACAAACATTACGTAACAGTTCAGTACTCTTTCCTTTGTTTCCTGAATTGGCGAAGAATATCATAAGTTCCTCATGGACTGTAATATTCATCAGAATGTAATCGATTTAAATATCCTAAGCTTTTATTGAACCTTTTTAAGTCTATTGAATTACAATACCCTGGCATTCTACTGAACTTTTTATTTATTGAAGTATGCTTCAGTTTATTTATTTAATAATTAGTTATGAATTAAAACAAATTACTGTACATGTACTTGAGTTTAAATATTCTATTACTATTAAATTTGTAAACCTCCTCTATAACAAATAATCCATATAAATGTATATCTACTAATGGAAAAGAATGATACCATTTTCAATAATATATGCATATTATTTGGAATGCATCTTTTGAGTCAGACAATCTTGGAAAGAAGGAGGAATAACATGTTTGATTGATTGATTGATTCATTAATTTTCTATGGCTTATTAACATTTTGCTGGTTATTTAAAGCCAGAAAATAATTTTAGTCTGTAAAATTTTTTTTTGTTTCTTTTTTTTAGGAGATATTGATTTAGTGATACAAGTCTTACTAATTAACCCATAGCTGGGAGGAGAAGAGGTGGATTCATGCTTAATCAGAATTGTATATACAAACAAGAAATTATAACGTGGACATAAAGTGGGGGATCAATTCTATATTACAATCAATATATAAACTGATCTCTCATTTTGTGACCTCGTTAGTTTCTATACACTTATATTCCAGAGAATGTAAATAAATCTAAAACACGTGCCTGTGTAAAAAAAATCAGTATTTGATTGATTGATCAATTGATTCATTTTCATGGCTTATCAATCCTTTGCAGATAGTTAAAGCAAGAAAATAGTTTTTAGATTCTAAATTTTTTTCTGAGATAATAATGATTTAGTGATACAAGTCTTATTAATTAACCTATAGCTGGGGGAAGAAGGTATTTGAACATAAGTGAATATAGTGAATCCAACTGGAATTAGAACTCAGATCTCTGATTTCCAATTCCAAGATGTTTTCCATTACACCACCCACACATTCAAGTAAACAGCATCTGAACTTTTTTTATTTATTGAAGTATACTTCAGTTTATTTATTTAATCATTAGTTATGAATTAAAAGCAAATTACTGTACAAAAATCCATCAACAACTTATGTTGCTGTTAAAGTTTTAAAAGTCATCTATAAAAATAATTCATGTAAGTGTCTATGTGTTAACATAGAAAAGAATAAAGATTTTCAATAATTTGAAATGCCAATTTTTAAGCCGGTAATCTTGGGAAAGTGGGGTGGGCGATATTCTGACATGACAGATTGATTCATTTATAAACAAGAGGAACATAAGAAAATAAAAAAATAGAGCAATTGTTCTCAACGGGGTGGGGGTCCCATTCCAGGGGAAAATTTCATGATTTCATAGAGACGGGGAGAGAAAATCATTTACTTTTTTTTGTTTTTTATTCACAAAAATTTGGTTATTGAATTACAATACCCTGGCATAATACTGGACATTTTGCCTATTAAAATACGTTTCAGTTTATTTATTTAATAATTATCTGTGTATTAAAAAAATTACTATGTGTTGTAGCATACCTACGGGCGATAATAGGTATTTCTCCATTCACATAAATACAGTAGTAAATACTGTATGTTGGTATGCAGTTGGAGATTCGTCTCCAGCTGTGCTGGTCAAACTCTCTGCCTCCAAGCACAGAGGATCCCCAGACGACGCTATGTCGAAGAGCAGTATCTCGTCTCGGGAAACAGCTACTCGACCTCGTTTTATACGGGGTCTTCGGGGAATCTTTGGTCGAGACTACAGGCACGGATACCCGACATTAAATTCGGCCTTGTGCCACATCTGACCGCGTGGAGCAGTTGGCATATATCCCGCAGTTGGCTATTCACTTTATTCCCTTCTAGCAGTTGACTACTTCTACGCGCCGCTGGCGAATCTGATATGTGTTGTTCTTGTCCTAAGTATTATCGTTCATTACCAACCTTCGTTTGATTATTCTGTTCAGTAACCTTCCCTAGGTTAGAACACTATAACTGTCTATTCCTATTAAGTATGTAAATCTCGTCTAGAAAATGAATCTAATTAAATGTATTTCTATCTATAAAAGGCAGGAAGTGTGTGTGTGTGTGTGTGTGTCTGTGTGTCTGTCTGTGTGTATGTGTAACGAATGCACGGCCGCAATTTTCGACGGATTTGCACCAAAATTTACATGCACATGCTCCAAGTTAGAGGGAAGGCCAAGACTGACTTTGCATTCACAAATACCATCGATAGTGGAAATAATCGGTTTTTTCATGCTTCTACGGCAGTTTTAATGTAGTTTTCGGCCATTTTCTACTGGCCAGAGTGAGAGCCTATAGCTGGCTGTCATGAATAGGCAGGAAGATTCTATTGGCCAGCGTGAGAGCCAACAGCTGACTGACACGAATGTTAACTAGCATGCTAGCATGCAAAAAAATAAAAAATCGATAGCTGCATTCGTCACAAGTGGAAAAAATTTAAACCTGCATGACACTTTACGCCATTTTGTTTAGTTCTTTTTTCGTAACAGATTTAATGTTTAGTATAGAGCTTAGAAAAAATTCGCAGTGTGAGATAAGCAAGAAGTAAGGCATGTAGCAACACCAGCACGGCAAATGGCACTCGTGTAAAGGCAAGGAAGGGCAAAAATATTTTAAGTCAAGTGATAGTGATTGCTGTATTAGTCGTACGATTTTTGAATCAAGCACGGGCAACGCCTGGCCATGCTGCTAGTATGTACTTATATGGAAAAGAATGAAAATTTTCTATAATATATTATTTGGAATTCACTTTTTGAGTCGTACAATCTGTGGAATGTTGGAGTTGGTAAAGATATTCTAAAAATGGTGAAAAAGATGCATGGGACACATAAGGTTGAGACCCTCTCCATTAGAGAGAACTATTCCACGAAATCATGCATTTATTGTATAGTGATGTCTCCCTCTTCTGTGATATTAGAATAATCCTAACCTTGTACTGAGTACAAACCATCTGCATACGGATAGAAAAGGAATTCACTAAATGCCCAAAACTGGAAAGGGGTTAAAGACAAGGAGGTGTCTTCTCGCCAGATTTATTCAACCTTATAGCAAGGCGATTCTAAGAAAACTAGTTGTCATACTAATATTTATTATTGGCGAACACAATCTTAGCAACGCATGATATGCTGATGAAGGAGAAGAAGAAGAAGGGGGAAGAGAAGAAAAATAAGGGTATTATATATGTATTGGTGGGGGTGAGTAATTGAAATGTTTTTTTTTTTTTTATCCAGCCTCATATGTGCTTAAGGGGATTTTTTCTTCTTCTTTCTTCACATCTTCCCCTCCCCTTCCCTCTATCACATACAACGTTGTGCATTTCTCTATTCATTTTTTAAAAAAATAATATAGTGTTCATTAATTATTTTATTAATATAATGTTGAGAGATCAATTGATAAAATCGCCTGAGGATACCGTAAGATTGAAACCAAGGTAGAGGATTCAACAGAGTATATATATATATATATATATATATATATATATATATATATATATATATATATTTTGGCTGACGATCGCTAAAGCGTGAAACCCAGGGTCACAAACTCACATCAATCCAACCAAATATGTTAGCTCTATCTCAGATATTGAGCGCTTTCTAATAGGTACCGCGCATATAATATATAAATAATTATACATATATATATTTATTTATATTTATAAACACACACTTTTCACACACACACACACACACACACACACACACACACACACACACACACACACACACACACATATATATATATATATATATATATGATAAAGAACAAATAAAATGTTTATCAGTCTAACATGTTTCACTTTTATTAAAATTTCGTCAGTGTAACATTTCCATTGCTAAACATTTCTTGTTTGTTCATCATCTTATACTGTTAGATTCTGATCCATATTTGATCTATATTTGATCCCCCCCATATATATATATATATATATATATATATATATATATATATATATAAACACATTTATCCTTTATGGGTCCATCTTTAAAGTAGTTTCAAGATTTCAT